AAAGTTTGGATGCCTTTTGCCCAGAACTCTGATGGCTGTGCCTCGAAAAAGTTGTTCAACTCCGCCTCTACGTCAGAGAAATCATTAAATTGTTTACCCCGCAAATGCTGTTTCAGGGCTCTAAACAAATGATAGTCTGATGGGGCGAGGTCTGGGGAATAAGGTGGTGTATCGTCTCCCAGCCCAAGTTCTCCAACTGCCGGCGAACCACAGATGCGACGTGAGGTCGAGCGTTATCGTGCAGTAAAACTACATTGACTCGTCTTCGTCGTTTTTTCTTGATAGCGGCAGATAATTTGGTAAGCTGGGTTGAATATTTGTCAGCGTTTATAGTTTCATTGTGTAATAGCTCATAAAACAGTTTGCCGAAAAACTCTGCTTTGCTGTTTCTGGGATGCCTTGCGCATCCCAGAAACAGCAAAGCAGAGTTTTTCGGCGGTTCTTTTGACTCGGCTTCGGTTGAATTGGTGGCGTTTCTTCTCGAGGCAGCCAAAAAGCACGACGTGTATCGTTCTCGTAATAAATCCATGATTCATCTCCAGTAACCAGATCTGACAAAAACTCTTTACATCGGGGTCGCAGCAAAAGTGACTGACAGATAGCGACACGGACTGCACGACTGGCGTCTGTAAGGATGTGCGGTACCCACCGAGCCAAAACTTTTCGATAACCAAGCTCATGCAGATGGTGTTCCACGGCGTGGTGACTGCATTTAAGTGCTTCCGCTAATTCAAGAGTGGTAGCATCCGGATTCAACTGCAGTTCGCGGCGCAAATCGTCATCATTCACTGCGGGTGGTCGCCCTGAGCGTGGCTGACTTTCAAAGCTCCTGTCTCCTGATTTAAAACGGTCAAACCATCGGGACACCGTCGCATGGCTTGTACTTCCAGCGCCGAATGGATTGTTGATATTGTCAGCCGCAGCCCGCGCACTGTGGCCTAACAAGTACTCGTATAAGTATAGTGTTCGAACTTGTCGCTCGTCCATTTTTCTTCAAACTGACTAAACAAATCGCGAGCGCGGCTTTATATACCCTACACCAGAAGTACCTAGAATGTTCTACAACATTCTAGAATATTATTGAAAAAATTGATTTTAAAAAGGAAATGTTATAGATTTTTCTAGTGTGTCTCATTACTTTTGTGCCAACCCAATAGATAGGGTAGATCGACTATTTGACTATTCTATAAGACAAAGTAATAATGTAATAAAATATTATATAAAATATGTTAGGACTAAATGAATTGCATGACTACGTATCATAAAGTAGAGTACATTCTCGGCGGCGCCACCGGCACCTTATCGGGTCGTGTCTTCGTTGACATTCCCAGGAAACATAAGTCGAGCCAATCGCTGGCAAATCGCCGTCCCACTCGACGCCAATACTCATGATTAATGCCAGACACCCGCCGCCGCTGCAACCACCGACCGGGCCGGTCATCTATAACTTTGAAATTTCACTTTACACTTAATAATACTCGTATTTGAATGAATCAATTGTCTCAGGCAATAAACTAAACGGGTAATTCATTCACGAATTCGTTTTTCTGCCCAACTGTAACAAACACACGGCGGATAGACCCCGGAGGTAGGTATATTAATTAAGTCCGATTGGAATTCTTTGGGTACCAAAAACTTAAAACTCTTAAAATAATACCTAGTATTAAATTCAATCAGAACCGTGCTAAACTAGAAGTCAATTTCAAAAGTTATTTTTCACACTCTAGTCTTGTACTTAAACATCTAGTTGTTACAATATATGTATAAAGACCTTAAGATCTTAGTTACCGACTACCGTTAGGTGCAGCAACTTCGGTTGCAAGTTCATATTCATATTCGTTACAATAATTTAATATTAATGTTTATGTAAACACAAAATAGATACTTTCTAATAGAAACGTCTTTTATAAACCCACCTGCATTAGAGAGACCCATAATCGAAAGTAAATATAGTTCTGAATAGTTATAAACAACATTAAATACATTCAAATTGCCATAAAATAATTTTATAGCAATAAAAACGTCTTCGAGCATATTAAAGTCCAGTGGAAGCAACGCCTGGCGGCGCCGCGGGTCCCCGCCACGGTAATGATGATTTACGGTAGGTAATGAAGCGGGCAAACATTGCCGCTAATTGGAAACACCCACTACAACTATGCGCAGGCGCAGGTTGCGCGGGAGTTGATAGCCCCCATACCCATACCCATAGTGTCGACCGGACAAAATTCCGCTGTGGACATAATATTCTAGAATTGTTTCTCTGTACAATCAATGTTTTTAATAGTCTTCTCTATAAAATACAAGAAGATCAAAATCAAGATTATGCAGCTAAATAAAAATACATAATAATAAAAACAAACAGTAAAAAATATGAATTTTATACTTATGTCATAAAGAGAACAGATTTGATTGTTGAATTGAATAGGAAGGCCCCTAATCTACCGGACCTAATTTAAAAATGCTTTTACCTTCGGGAAGCGTCATCACACGCGGGTGACATAGGCTCGAGTTTGAGCGGGCGGAGTCGCGAGAAAAGGCAACTTGCTTCCGATCCTGTTGAATTGTTTAATATTATACACTAACTGGTTTCCTCTGATTTCGCCCGCGTATAATGTAGCCTATGTCATTCAAGTATGATGTAGCTTCTTGTAAGCGAAAGAATTTCCGTGATCGGATCAGTATTTCCGTTAATTACCCCCTACAAGAAAAAAGAAGTCAGAAAGTTCACCTCTTTATAGTATAAATTTAGATTTAGATTGCCGACCACCATTCCCAAAGGTCCTATTTAAGCCTTATGTTGATCTAATTCATATCAAGTGACGTCCAACAACATCAACGCACGACTGAAATTTTCCTTTTGATTTAGTACAATGTTTCCTTCCCACACTAAAGGATTTCTGCAATAATTAATCACACACCAAATTGAACTTTAAATCATCGATTGTTTGAGTAAAAATTTCACAACATTGTCTGAACGGCAGGTGGTGTTTGACGAGCGCTGCAAAATATAATGCCATCTGTTTGGTTGTCAGTGTATCTCATTAATACAGGAACGGTAATGAGCCGCACCAATTAACGTGCGGGTGTGACAGACAGACAGACCGACAATTCACACTCGCCCACGCGGCGCACTCGCGCTGCACACCACTACGACACTTCACAAATAAAACGGTCGCGTAGAATGAGGTTCGATTGCATTTTATTGACATTTATGATTTGTTAACAGAATGTTGACACAACCAATATCCCTGATACTGATAAATCTGAATTTGATTACACGATAAATTTTAAATTGTATAACATAAATGTATTCTATTATCATTTACAACTAAGTTTAGTTAGTGCTTAGTTTTGTTCAGAAGTTAGTAATACCCTATTAAATTATTTAGTTATAATAATTTGCCGTACAAACAGAATTTCCTTACACATGGAAAATATTTATAAAAAGTCTCATGTTCCTGAGTTCACGTTATATTAAGCAACATTTCTAAAGATCGGATCTATACTAATTAATATTATAAAGAGGCAAGATTTGATTGTTTGTTTGATTGCATTGAAGAGGCTCCGAAACTATTGGACCGATTTTAAAAATCTTTCAACTACGTGAAGCTACACAATATGCGGTGGACATAGGCTATATATTATCCCGATAAACAGCAAATAAAGGGATGAAAATGGGAGTGATAGTATAGGGAATTAAAACGTGTAACGGTGCGTCGTTACACACACACACCATTTATTATGTCCTAGTTTTCCTCATCCAAACTTTTTGTCTTTGATCTTTAATATCATTTTTTTAACTATTCATTTTTTGTAATTTGACAGGTTGAGTACCGCGATATGGTCTTTCTGAATATCAGTTCGTAAAAGATTCTTCCGGCAACAACACGATCATCATTGAAAATTGATAACAAATATTTTTAATATGTAACTTTAAAATCTATTGTGTGATTTACGAGTTATATTTATGAAGATGTGTGTGTATAAACACTTTATAACCACAATAAACGGCATGATTTTGCACCCAACCACTACATACTTGTGAAAAATAAGCCATATTTAATACCAAGGAGTTCTGTCATTTAAATATTCATTAACAGTATAACATCCTTTACTAAGGAGACAGCCTGGATTCACATATGGGCCACTTTTTATCCCACTAAACAGTTTCCTAGACATCACGCGCTGCTGGCGGAAAGCTAGTTACGTAAACGTATTTATTATTTCATAAAGGTAGATTGACCTTATTGACCTTTTTATACGAATACAAAATTATCAACATCCAAGAAAATCCTGTTAAGCGGTCCAATGACAACAGAACACAAAACATACTGTCGGTCAATAGTGTGCAGAAGAATGACCCGATAGTCTCCCAGAGGAAGTGACGTAGCACGTGACCGTAGGTGGTATTGTGATGCGGCGTGCGACTCGTGCGTGCTGCCAATTTGTGGTCAGAGAGCGAAGCTAATGGTGACGGTAATGACGACCGCATCAAATATAGGTTCTTTTGTGTAGGTATATCAAAGGACAGGAAGAAATCATTACGGATTGGTGATAGTGTACATTATCTACAGGCTGCAGTGTATAGTTATAGTAATCAATCATCGTCATTTGATTGAACATAATAATAGTATTTTTAACACTCTTTAAGTTGAAAGTACATAGGATAATGTACTAGATGCGTAGTATAAGAGTATGGACCGATACCAACAACACCGCTGAGCTGTTCCGGCTTGTCCGGGAAAAAACAAAATACAAGTAGCTGACTTCCGACGTGTACCTACTAGTTGAGGACGCACCTTCAATGAGAAATTATAAAACCTCATTAATAATGGCATACAAGTGATACAAGTTGTATACGAGCAATTAGTCTTTCATTAGTCTCTGAAGGCGAGCGCCGGACGTGTCCCGCGATAATCTCCCGGATTGAGACCAAATAACTTTGCTGTTTCGTAAATTGGCCTCAAGAGTTAACTTGAATACTTGTTGTTTGTACCAGGATGGTGAGGGCGGTCAGTGGCGCGGGCGGGGGCGGGGGCGCGGGCGGTGGCGGCGGCCTGCTGGGCGCGAGCCTGGTGTGCGGGCGCGGCCTCACCGACAGGCAGCGCGCGCTCTGCCACTCCGCGCCCGCCGCTGTCGCCGCGCTCGGACGCGGCCTCAGGTACACATTATAGACACAGAAAGCATGACACACGACATGTCAAAAGACCACGCACACGTATACAATATAAATTGCAAAAGTTATAGCACTCAACTCAACACTCTTTAGGAAGGAAGACCGACAGCTCATACAGATGTATAGAGACAGACCCATTCGGTCAATTTTTTAAAAGTACAGTTGCCACTCTCTGCAGGTTCATCTAAATTTCTTTCTGCTAACAAAATTAACAATTAATTGTAAGAGGAACACTATAAATTATTTGGAATACATAGTAACTGTTGTTGTTGTCAGCATGGCGTACGCGGAGTGTCGCGCGCAGCTGGCCGGCCGCCGGTGGAACTGTTCCGGCGTCGGCGACGACCCACGCCTCGGACACATCCTACCGCTAGGTAACACAACACACGCACGCACACACGCAATCACACATACACGCACACTCACACGTGTTCATTCATTATATTTGATTAACACAAATAACAGCTGCCCCTCATCATCACCATCGTCAGAAGTTCTCGTACGACTGTTGAGCATACACCTCCCCATATATCCCCACGACCGACGATCTGTCCTGTTTTTCACAACCTTTATGAGGTCGGTGGTCCACCCAGTGGAATACTTTCATTCCTAATACCACTAATACGTTCACGTAGAGAAATACCAAGCATTCTCTCTCTTTCTATTGCCAGCTGGTTCAATTTGATCTTTCTTTTGAGCCTCTTGGGAAACGAGTTGTCCATGAAATAGTACCGCCGTCAGCGCAGCTATCATAACCGCAGACAAAATTACTATACGGTATACTTATAGTAGGTATACTTACGGAATCCTCTCCTCCTTATATTCCACCACCTGGACCAATCTTCTGCGGTGTGGATGGCGTCGCCTATAGCGGCGTCGAGTTCGGAGTGAATTTGGGCGGTCCAGCGCATAGGCCTTCGTTCCTGGGCCCTATCTCCGTCTAACTTGCCCGTGAAAACATCTTTTTGTTGATGGTTCTTGTCAGCGCTGTTCTTCAAGTATCGGTGCGTTGGTACAACGTACCGTCTAAGGATTGCGCAACATGCGTCTCCAGCACCTCATCTCAAAAGCATCTATATAGGTGCGGTGCGATCAATCTTTTTTGGGGTCGCCGTACAAGAATATGAAGTACACTAGACTTGTCACAAGCTTTTGTTAAACCTTACGTGAGATGTTTTTATTTGCCCGAATGCGTCTATGCGTCTAACTGTAACATGGCGTTCTTTGCCATTACAATGCGCCTTCTGACAGCTGCCTTACACGATCGAAATAATAGAGATGAGGTGGATGAAATCATTGTCGAAGTCGAGATTTAATGCGAGCTTAATGTGAGCTCCAATGTCAGTCGACCGCAAGTCTTCAATGGAAAGTATTCTTTTGGTTTATTACTCGGTCTTTCTAAAACAAAGCAAGAGATCACATGGAAAGATAAATGTTAATATTAAGCAAAGCAAGAAAACGAGTCACAAACTCACAATGGTATTTTTTAATTAAAATCTTGACAGATTTAACCACCTTTGCGATCAGAAAATAAATATTGTTATAAAACTTCACAAATAAACTTGATTCGTTGAAGTCTTTATCAGCGGCGGCGGGGGGCGGAGGCCGACAGGCTCCGTGTATCGCGCGGGGACGCGTCGACATCGTCGTAGGCGCCTGATTTATAACGAGAGACTAATTGACACACACGATGCACACAACACCACACGACCACGACACGATCGTCTAACGACAACCGTCGACGGATCGTTTATAAAACAAAAACTACAGTTGGTAAGCTGTAATAATTGCATAATTATACGGCCGGGAGCAATGATTTAACGTTCCGTGAGATTATATATTTTTTTTATGATCCATTATCTAACCAAGTGCCATGCGAATGTTACTCCACGTACTAAACACAATGATATAATAAAATATACAATGCATTCCAGTATAATATCCGCTTTTGTACAAAATTTGCGGTAGTTGTGACACGAGCGGTCAGTCAGTCAGTCAGTCACACAATAGATTAATAGCTCCTGTCACGGCACAGCCACGGAATGTTACCCGGTTGACTAATGAGCGCTAGCCCGGATCTATAGGGTGGTCAACGGTGACCGTGCCAACTCTTGTTTATAATAAATCTAAATAAAACTTTATTTGCCAAAGTTTGACCCGACGAAAACATGGGATCTGTAGGGCAATTCTGCAAATGTTAGTACAATTATGGAAAGGCAATAGCGCTTCTACTACAATCGTTTATGTCACAGTTTTTGTTATTAAATCACAAAATAATAAATGGTATATCTGTCACGGTTGATTTGTAAAGAAGATATCGCACTAATAATATTGAACTTCAAGAATGGCAAAATACAAGTAGTTGAGACTATTGAGATGTTATTATTACGTATAAAATACGAATATCTTGTTTATAAACGTATTAATATAATAACTACCAATTTAAATGTGAGGAAATGTTGCTTGTTTTCACTTCAGTGGGTACGAGTACATCAAACAAATAAAGCAACATGTAAACAAATAGAAATACACGTAATTACTTATGTATAAAAGTCATCCAATTAAATAAATTATATAATATATCGACTAGGCAGCATGGAATAATATGCCACAACGAATTCATTTTTATTACTTTCAATCTAAATATACTTAGTTACTAATAAGTCCCTAAGAACATCTATGTAGGGGTTTTATGTAAGTTAAATTAAAAACCAAAATGAATGGAAGATTTCAATATTTATACTAAATTATTAAAAGCGTGTGCTTTAAACTATAAACACCAGTTCATCATTCACATTTTTTTTTATTTATTACATAAAAAATAAATTATATGTTATTAGCAACCCTAATGTAGTTGCACTAGATTTAGGCGGAAGGTTAGGTTCTGACATTTGCATAGACATAAATAAGACAATCTTATTAAACTGCCCTCGCTACAACACCTCGCTATGATCAAATGTCGTATAATTCCTTTGGAAATACTCATATACATACATACATACCTACGTAAATGTGAAAATATTTTTATATAAAAACTCACTATATTTATATCCCATCACTCTTAAGTAGAATTATTTTGTATCTTTTAAAAATAAACACATCGTTTGCTATATTTTAATACATCAAAATTATTTTCATGGTTAAAAAAAATAAATTTGAATCTAGAAATATACATATAGATCAGAAAAGATATAGAAAATAAATATTTGTAATATGTAAGAAATTATTTCCTAACGTAAATTTAAAATGGTCAGACGATTACTCATAAGTTCCCATATGTGTTTATAAAAACAATCTCGTGATTTACATCCGAAGGGTAAAGTTAAACGATAATAATTATATTAATTTCGCATAAATCCACGATCGACGACACTATCGGAGTCGTTTATCTCCAATAATGACCAAACTGTGATTAACGATTATGTGTTTATGAAATAGGAGATGATTCTAAATTAATATTTAGTTGTTTTAAATTATTTCAATGTTTTGACAACCGAAACTACTTCTGTAAATAATATCTCGTTGGAACCAGATCAAAGTGGAAGGGTTCCGCACCAAAAAAAAGGAAAATCCTAACCCAGGCACACTCGGTTGTTTGTCTATAAGTCCGTGTCAGCTGAGTTACTCCTAAACTACTAAACAAATTGAAATGAAATTTGGTACACGTATGTAAGTTGGTGACCCAATAATGGCTTGAAATATGGGACTCTATTTCAAGAGGTAAATGAATTATGTATTACAATTTATATATACCATTTTCCCTGATTTACGATACTACTAGGTCTAAAATTTAAAAAAAACACAATTCTTCTATAAATATAGATTATAGGAAAACCTCTAAGCAGTGATGGTTTTTACAGTTCAGTATTTGTGCGGATCCCTCGTCGCGCGCTCGACCCGCTGTTGGCTGGTTATTTATTTAATATTTAAACATGAGTACTAATGGCGCAGATCTCTAAACTTTATGGAGACCATTTATATCTTGACGGTTATGTATCTATGGTTGTTAAAAGAAAACCATAACTTATATCAACTGCTTTTCATCCGTTCGTTCAAAAATCGATGGCTCTTTCTTTAAACATGCCACAGGATGGCAAACGATCATTGTTTGAACGATATGTGAAATTTCATCAGTGCTGTGTATTGAAGCTGAACACTTTATTACTTCAACTTTGTTTTATACTAAAAGTTCGGCTTTGGTTAGTACTAAATATTATTATCCTACTAATATTATAATTGCGAAAGTTTGTGAGGATGGATGTATGTATAGATGTGTGAATGTTTGTTGCTCTTTCACGTAAAAATTACTGGACGGTTTTGATGAAATTAAGTACACGGATACTTCTAAGCGTGTATTGATATATAGATTATTTTTATCTCACTAAATAGTTCTCAAGGGACCCCGCGGGCGAATACTAGTTAGATATATAAATGAATAAAGGCACTCGTGTATTGTTATTGGATCGTACATGCCCACTCCAGTGTACTACAGTCACATTCACTCGCACTAAGACCTTAAGTGAAACATTAATCGCTTCATGTAAATGTAACATTTAAAAAACGTAAAACATGAAATGTAAAGTCTAGCGCGTCCCGCGTCGTGCAAAGCGTCCTTAGGCTGTGTGCACATTCCCGCGCGCTGCTCCCGTCCGCACGTCACGTCTCGATCGCTTTTTATTTATGCTTTATGGCAGTGTTAATGGCGGCGGGTGGAACCCGACCGAGCTCCAGGAGCAGTCAATTAATTTGACCGTTGTAAATCGGCAGGCTGTACAAAAGCTTGTTTGTAGCAGCAAATAAACGACGGTTTGTTTTGATTGTATAAAAGGTGATGAATAAATTAGTGTTTGTTTTATATCTGGAATTTTATTGGATCTGTAAAGGAGTAGGTACTACTTTACTGTATATTATTTTACTATTCATTGAATTGTAAAAATGGAAAGCTGCCTTTTATGTTTTGAACCATCAACAATAATAAAAAATAATAACTAAACCTCACCATTACGTTCAGACGTTAAAAAACGGTAGATTATTTTTATGTACACGCGGACACGACTACTATATTTTAGTTCCAACTGGTGCTAATGCTGTAAAACATTGAGCGACATGTAAGTTAGTTTCACAGCTGAATACTTATATCGCAGTTCGCAACACGACTGCAAGTTAGCGAATGTCGTATCCAGGCTCTTACTATCACTGATGACTTATTACCGTCCGCCTAGTAATATCTTGGACACAGACACTCGTCTCGTTCCTACTGATTGATTGTAATTATGTCTCCGACCGAACACGTACAGTACAGTAAAATTAAATAAATAATATCCCTGGAATAGAAAATTTAATAACATATACGTAATATGTCACGCTACAACAATGTTATTCTTATAATTAAGCGAATTAAGTTTCAGAATAGGTTGTGTTGAAAATTATTTAACCTAAGTGAGGGAACTTAATGGTGGATCCACACTGCCCGGAGGCACGAGTGAACCTGGCCGCCGTGCTAGTTACGCGAGTGTTTGTGTCTTTTGTTTTTCCGACTGCAAAATGATTTTCATTGACTGCGAATTACCTTCAAATGAAGTGATAACTACGAATATCTATTCACAATAGCTCATGCCGACACACTCGCCGGCCTCTTCTTTGGAGGCTTTGCTTATTGTCAAGCCACCGGAGCCGCCGTTGGCCTATGTAGATCCAGCATTCATTACATATAAAAATTAAGTTGCTTGTGCTGTTTTATTGCCTTTTTCTTTTCAGATTATCTGTGTTTTCATGTAACATAAGACAAAGTCTAGTTATTATGATTGCATGTCACCATTTATTATACGTCAGGTATATATCAGCACAAAAATCTATCTCGAAGGAAAGGAAACCAACTTATCTGTTCACGCTGAATTACAATGTATTTCCTGACACCGGTCAGATTATGGAACAGGTCCTTTTAGTTTAGTTTATCGGTCGCAGATTACGAGCATAAATTAGGTACCTACAAGTAAAGTTTACCTTGAGCATCATAATTTGTCTGAATGTACGCACACTTTCCTGTTTAATTTTAATCACCATTGCGGTTTGCTAAAATAATTTTATTTCTGCAACTTATTAATGAATATTTTGGTCGATATATACTTAATGCTTGTACTTTATTAGACTTTTTAAGTTAAAAGAATCCAACAATGAGTATCCCAGATTACAATTATACACGTTAGATAACACATCTGCAGTTTATCTATAGTCATGATAAGTAATATTTCCAGCTACGAAGGAGGCGGCGTTCACATACGCGATCGCCGCGGCGGGCGTGACGCACGCGCTGGGCGCGGCGTGCGCGCGCGGCGACATACCCGCCTGCTCCTGCACCAACGGCAGGTTGGCGCCTACCTACCGCTCTAGCAGTGTTATCAATAAACGAGGTTTAGCCTGCACTTAGTATTGATTCAAATTCATATTATTAAACAGAGACTTAGCAAAGGTTAACCTAGTGCGCGATTCTACGCGAGTAATATTTACTCTTTGCTTACTCACTGTATAACATGAATTTGGACTAATACTAAAATTGCAATTTCAGCTTTAATTTACTCTAACGCTATACCTTGTTTAATATTAGCACTTTATATGTACAACAACTACCTCCGTGTACATTCTTTTACAAAGATACCGTGTAAAAACATAGATTTTTTATTTATGTGTATGCCTTTCGACGACTATTGAGCGTTTTGTGTATAGATTGAATTAATGAGTTCAGAAAATGCAAATATCATATTATATCCTTTTAAAAAAATTATTTGACCTACAACACCAATCCGTTGAAATAAATACAAGAAAAAAATTATATTGTCCTCCTTGCGTCGAAATCCGCAATGCTGAGGGTCGTTGTCTCCATATAGCACTTTTTTCGGATTATATTCTGCCTCCTGAATAACTGGATCTATCTTCAGCGATGTGAATGACGTCACTGATAGTGAAGGCGAGTGTCGAGCTTATTTGGTTCGTCAAACGCATAGGGTTCATCCCCGGGCCCTTTTTCCTTCCACCGTGCCCGTGACGAGCATGTTTTCAAGGTTGTCAACGCTTTTTTACCAATATGCTCGAAGAAACTCAAATTTTCTGCGGAGACACGTAGTGGAAAGCCTGGTCTTGACGTTCAATTCCTCAAATATCAGTGCGTGAGTAAAATATGCCGTCCAAGGATTGCGCAACATCTATACGGGTGCGATCACTCTTTTTTAGGGTCCGGGTCTCCGCGCCGGACAAGAATATGGAGAACGTCACGAGCTTCTGTTTAACTTTGCGCGTGATGTTTTTATTTGCCCAAATGCGGTCTCGTTATCTGCCTCATACGATCCATTATTTATGGTCAGTAGCGCCCAGGTAGATGAAGTCATTGATGTCGTCGCCCGTGAGCTCATTGGGGGACTTAAATTTATTATTTCGAGCTTAGTTTTTCAATACCTCGGAAGGCATATTAAACCATCGTTCTGGGGTCACGGTAGCTATGTAATCGATGAATACTTACATAGTGAAATCCAGGGACAAGTAGGTTGACTATAATGCTGATGATGTGGGTATGATTGTCAGACGGCGGGTGTCGTCGGTGTCGGAGCAGTGGGAGTGGGGCGGGTGCGGGGAGGCGGCGTGGGGCGCGCGGTTCGCCCGCCGCTGGCTGGACGCGCGCGAGCTGGAGGGGGACGCGCGCGCCGCCATGAACCTGCACAACAACCGCGTCGGCAGGAAGGTGAGCGAGGTACTGGCCTCTGCACTCACGCCCGCACGCACTCATGCACGCACACCACTCGCACCACTACAATACCTACAAAGCGTATTTCATATAATGAAAATAAGCAAATATCGCCTTCTATGTGTGGACCCAGACCGCGGTTACCGTAATCTGTGGTCACATGTGGAGGCAGATATTTAATTATTTGCTGCATTCCTACGGTCCTGTCGTCGAGATCTCTTTGAAAAAATGTACATATGCAACACATATTATTTTCTTATTGAAAAAGAAAACTGTCGTATAGTAACTGCTAACGAAATATACCAAAAGCAACTCGAGAATAGCATTGGGAATAATTAAACAAGACAACTATCATGGCTCTCAGAACATAATAATCTAACATCCTATAAAACACTGGCTTTGTCTGTAAACATTTTTGCAACAGATTTACCTACTAGAAAAAAACTGAAAATCAACAGTACAAAAGTTATACTTACGCTATTATTTAAAATTATCATTTGGCATAAAACTAGAAAATATCTAATCGAACTGGTGAAATCAAAGTATCTCCCCTGGCGGTTAACATTATCGTATATCATCAATCGAACTTATGAGCATTTATAAACAAGTAATCACCACATCGACATGTAAATGCAACGAATTACAGAAACTCGCACCACCCGCGGCTTCTGAATCGTCCCTAATTGCCGACGCAGCGTGAGAATACGGACTCGTAGCGACCTGACATTATACATATATACATATCCACGAATGCAATACGTACCTACAGCAATGATCACCCACCACTTATACGCACATTAGTTCTGCCGTATTATTTGCAAACTGCCTCATTACGGTTTTTTTCTATTTCTCCTCTGCTCATAATTGCGCGTTTATTACTGTTTTTGTTTATTCTGGCCAGCAGAAGTGAAGGAGACTCTAAATTTAATATTTTTACTTTACTTCTTTTGGAGCTCAATAATATTGAGCCTCCTCCTAAATATTCCTCGACAATATTTATATTTTATGATTTCTCATCTGCTTGTCATGGCTCATTTTGTTTGCAATATTTTTTTTGGTAAGTACTGCTGACAGTAGCGATCTGTGGTTTTATAGAAACTATATCTTACTCTTTAAAATTATCATAAATGTTACTTCACAGATCACAGATCCTAAAAAATAATAATATTCATTAAAAAAGAGATCAAAGAGCTAAGCATTCATACTAATTAAGTATATGATTATATATTAGAACATGATAATGTAAATCCTGAACATAACAACATTGCTATTTGAATAGACAATAAATGAATACCTATTAAGTGATCAAGTCACGGATAGTGTAAAAGTGGTGATCTTTTCAATACAAGAATCATTAAAATATTATCTGGAATAATATATATATGAATGGTAAATTGTGCAGTGTTGTGGGTTTTGTCCTGTCACCATCACTCTACTCCTGTGTATTGTTACTGTTACGCCGCTCCACTGAGGGCGCAGTTCCCTCACCGGAGGAGGCTAGCCCGATACGTTTGTCTTTGTTTCATTATATTCCTTTTGGTTTCCAGAGCGCTCATTAGTGTTCGCATTATGAGTAATGTGCGAGTGTCGGTGGTCCCGCGAGTACAATTATACAACGTTTATATAGCATTTACAATGCTGCTGTTACGGTTGGCCATTATCGGAACCACATATCATTAAGCTGTACTATAGTTTCGCTGAATGTTTGGACCTAAGCATTAAAAGAAAAATCTACTACATAAGAGAAATCAATTCATGTAACTTTTATTCAGATTAATTTCTGTCTGCGAGTAGTCGACATATAGACTCGAACAATCAATCATATAAAATTTAATATGGTGGATAGAGAATGGACAATGACGCACTTTACATAGTGGTGTTTACTTTTTATATAGTTTCCAACACATTTTCGTATGAGGGTTGTTTTTACCACTTGACATCAGAGTTCTGGAATGTTGAAATCGACCTGATGATATATTGAACTCATTATTTTTTTATTTCACTTCCTTTAGCTGGTGAAGGACATGGTCCGCAACGAGTGCAAGTGTCACGGCGTGTCCGGGTCGTGCGCGGTGAAGACCTGTTGGCGCGCCCTGCCGCCGTTCCCCGCAGTGGGGGCCGCGCTCAAAGTCAAGTACCTCAGGGCCAAGTTGGTGGCGCCGCCGGACAAGGAACTCCGGCGAGATATCGTGCCGTACCACCTCCCCAATGCGCTCAGGCAGCCGCCACAGCTTCTTCGCAGGTCGGTTATATAAAACACATGCTAATCATTCCAGACTAGAAAATGTCACGTTGTGATTATACAGATGGATGACCGAAATCGTTCATTGGGCGAAACAATAATTCACAACGCGTTGTGGTCACAGTAAAATTTCACATGATGAAATTCGTGTTATGGCTTTAGTGGAAATGCTCACGACGCACTGTAACAATCACAGAAAGCGACATACCGACATAGCGAAATCCGCGTCGCGGCCGGCTATTCGAATACAACGCGTTGTTTGTTTTTTATTTTATTTATTGAAACCAACAGCCTGTGACAGTTCATACTCGTACTTACAAACTTATTTATTATAATTTATAAAGCCAATTATAGGTTTCCTATATACATATTGTGTTAATTGTTAATATGTTAGCTGTTTAATTAATACATTATGTTAATGTTGCATTTAAATGACAAACAGAAAAACTTAAATATAATAAACAGACAATACAACACGCGCGCATCCCCAAATTATGATTATTCAGTACCAGTCACACGAAGACGTCAACACCCACCCGCCTAAGATTTGATTAAAATTAGTCAAACTGAATTGTGACAATTAAGCCATGAAGCGTTCCGAGCATTAATTGGTTTAACCATATCACGACGGACAGGATTTTAAATTATCATAAAATGCCTTAAAGTCCCTTATTCTTTTAAGTATAATATAAGTATCATTCCCGTGGTTTGCTCATAGTCATCCTATTACGCCTCTTGTTTCGTCTCTCAACGTCACATCGAACCTTTGATGTGACCTAAACTAACATAACCGTTTCATTTTACATCGGCGATTCACGCTCGCCGTAGCACGCTCGCTTCGCTCGCTCAGCTTGTGCGTTGTTTGTCCTACACTAACCTAATCTAAACGTTATACCCTTTCTGTTTCTGATGCTATACTTATTACAAAATTCTTGAACACAAATCTACATCTAAATCACAAAGCACTATACGTCCTAATCAAATATGGCTCCATACGCTTTATGGGCATTTTTTTTGCCACAATGTGTTGGGTTCGAATAGCTAGTCAGTCACAAAACGAATTTCGCTGCGTGGCGTTTCCGTGATCGCCACAACGCGTCGTGAGCTTTTCCATTAGAACTATTACACGAATTATATAAATTCGATATGTATATGATTATGATATTTTCCTCTGACCATACCGCGTATTTTTTCGCTCAATGAGCGGTTTCGGTCTTCATATATATTTATATATTGAATATAAACTAACGAACATAGAACAACCGACTAGAAAGCGGATCTAAAATATTGCATCGCGTATGTGTACGTCAGGTCCCGTAACGGAGCCGGCCTCGGTCGTCCGGCGCGCAAGTCGGAGCTGGTGTACCTGCAGCCGTCGCCCTCGTACTGCGAGCCCGACCGCGCCGCCGCCGCGCCCGGCACCAGCGGCCGCCACTGCAACGTCTCCTCCCACGGTAACCGTGCCCGTCACCGGCTCCGGCGCGTTCTCGGGTCTTCCCTGTGGGTGGAATTCGACAGCCCAGGCACGCGAGCCCGGGGTGGATCGGGGAGTGTCGACGTCTTACACTACAGATACGGCCGGGAACGACGGCGCCCCGGTCCTTCCGAAGCGCGGGGGAGCTCGATATAATGATTTTTTGTTATGTTTGGCTTGCTCAACTTCCGCATCGCAGGTCGAACACGCTGCCCCCTGCGGACGATGCGAGCGATCGTTATAATCGAGCGCACGTGTGTAAATGTGTGTGTATGTGTGCAGGTGAGGACGGGTGCGTACGGTTGTGCTGCGGGCGCGGGTGGGGCGCGGTGCGCGCAGTGCGGCGCCACAAGTGCCGGTGCCGCTTCCACTGGTGCTGCGCCGTCACCTGCGACTCCTGCCAAAGCACCACCGACGCTCACGTCTGCCACTGACGCGCCCGGCCCCGCTGCAGTGCTAGTGTTGAGCCGTTGTCGGCTTTCGAATATATTAAGTGGCTTATATCTATCGACTCTTCGGTTTGTTTGCCCTCGTATCGACGAAAATCGGTGGACTGTAGAACGTGATAATCGGTGAACGTTCCGGTGCGTGAGTTACGCGACAAATGACTTCGAATACGAGAGAAAAACACGAACTTGTGAATAATAAAGTGGAATATTTCTCTGGCGAAAAATATTGGTTTTTAATAAATGTTAAGTTATTTAATTGTGGAATCTTCTCTTTCATGTTTTTAATGTTTATAAAACAAAAAAGTATATATTTTATCCTGTTTAGAGTCTGATGTCTGTATTAATTTTACTATTTTAACAAAATTGATATGTGTTATTTTCGTAATTTATTGCATAAATTAATTGCAGTATAATGTACCTCCGAGTGTTGATCAAAATGTTTCTTCTACGAAGTTATGCATATAAATAATACGTATACTCACTAACAGGACGTTTGTCGTTTTGACATTTACACTGTATGTTTATTTATTGTGTGAAAACAAGAATCAAATATGAATAGATGAAGAGACGACCAGCACCTATTTATTTACTTGTTATGTAGGTACTTTAAAACTTATATCGATCATATGGATACCTGCCTAGCTAGCTAACAGGAAGGTGCATTATTAACGTTATAAAAATAAACTGCAACTTTCATCTTTAAATATGTTTCCATTTCTACTTTTTCATTAGTTGACTTACTTTACTTAACATAACGACAAATATTTCACGATTCTCATATAATTTCTTGCCAGTATTGAATAATACAACTACAGTGTATTAATTATATTAATTAATATTGTAAATACGATCGATACCAGTCGCGTGCTTAGTGAGTGCCAGATATCACAATAATCATGCATTTAACTTAGGTTTCGGCGGCTTTAAATGTATTAAGTTGTATCGGTGTCCGTGCGACATTTTTCATTGAAGAGACAAAAATCGCATACATTATTTTAATGATACAATTTTGTAACTCTTTATCCTAAATCCATACTACCACTATATAATTAAAATTCATACAACTCTTTCAAAAAACTAGTAGGTGTCGCTTTTGTGCCGTAGAAACAAAATAATAATAAAGAAATAATGTGTTTTTTTTATAATTTTCACAGCTTGCGCAAAAATTATCATAACATAACGATGTTACAATATAAAAATTTTTTTTGGATTAATAAAAAGTGTTAAATTTGTAAGATCAAAATAGTTATAGCCGTTATGTACTATAATTATGTTATGACCTGATTACCATGATATAATTTCAACCAGATACTGGTAGGTAAGTACTATGTGCTTCACTGCTGTGTTAAATTACTTGTACTTAAGCGGACGCACTCATAGGTACATACATAGCTTATGACATTCCTTCTAAGATAATAACTTATTCATCTTAACACACGCGATTTTTAATAAAAATAATGTTTTACAATGCTGTTTTATTTTGAATATCTTATAAAAACATTTCCTACTTTTTTCCAATTTGCAGAATTTATTTTTAAATGGAATACAAAGTTTATGAGATGAGAATATAAGAAGTGGGACTACGTATATTTCAAAGTGGCATAACATAGAGAGCTCGTTAAAAGTTATCAATTACGTCGAATTTGTCAACAAGTATAATGCTGAAGGCGAAAGAAACCGAGCGACGTCTACTTTCTTTAGAAACTTTAACTCAGAATGTGGACTTATACGAGTACTAATTAGGGGGTGGAACTTTACAGGGCTTGAAACATACATCTAATGTTATGTGTACTTTTAGCCGTATTTTATAGCATCTGTTACCCGAACGTGTATGATGTAGGCGAAAGAAATTTTAAATTATTTTCGGTATTTCGGAGCCTATTCAATACAAACAAACAAACTAACAAAAATAGATTGTACGGGTCAACGTACATTATTTGCCTCGAAAGCAATATATAACATCGCGACCCACTTTGGGCGCTTGCACATATTATTATAATTTTCAGTTCAATAAAGTAACTCCGTGGTATTGGTTGAGAGTATCATTTTTATTGCATTCTTTTTGACACCTTCTGACATTATCTTATCAATACTACCTGATATCTGAAATCATTTACTGGACGAGAGTAACAACTCGTACATAGATTACAGAAAGGGCAGTGTAACAGAAAATTATTTGTGTTACACTTTCATGTACCAATAAAAGTCGTTTAATACACTAAGAGGTGTTCACAAAACATTTAAAATAATCATCATACAAAATATTTACCTATGCGTAACCACTAACCGCCATTTTAGAGCGTCTAGTAGATACGTTAGCCACATGCCCGAGTCAATCAGTGACGAGGAGTAGTAATGCTATCAAAATCCTTACTTCTAGTAGTTGTTTCAGGTAAGAGGCCAGACAAGTCCACTACTATAACTTCAAATACTACACTGAATTTTCAGGTCCGGCGGTCCGATTTTTTCCGGTCCGGAATGACATGAAAAACTCGGATGAGTAGCTTGTGCACTTGTCCGTTTTTTTCCTGATCGGAGCGGCGCAGTGTAAGGCAGCTCTCTTTGAAGCTACACGTCACTTACGCTATGTACGATGAGATTTTTGGAACGTCGGTAATTCCGTTCGAAGACGTAGAAAGGTACCTAAATAATGATCTGATCGTTTTACATAAACCATAATAAATTATGGCAAGACGAATGAAGCATTTTTTTTTTACTACTATCGGATGACTACTATCAGATGTAAAAACTTATACCCTTACTAATTTAGGAACAGCATTATTCACATACAATAGCTAAAAATATCTGTGACATTAGAATAAAATTACTGATACTGGTCTAGTACTTGATGTTTTAATTTTTAAACGTGCTTTTTTTTCGAAGTTTTGTAAAAACAACTTTCAGCGATTACAGAGATATACCAATCGGTGGCGCCATTTCGTAAACAAATCGAAATTAGTGCCGTGTTAGCGGAGAATTATTATGCTAAATGAACTTTACGAGATCAGTTGACTGTATTATATATAGGCATAATTTTATGCGCGTGGTGTAGTTTCTTTGAGCAGAAATATTATTCCCTTAGAATACTTTTTTTTAAATTTATTAATGACAGAAGCATACATTTAAAATTTTATTAAATGCGAAAAAGACATTGAGTGTCACTTAATTACTTTTGTTAATCTTCTGTTTATTGTTTATGATTACTTCTGTTGTCAAACATTTATCTATATTTATCAATTCTAAAAAAAATTTGATAATGACAAATTTCCAGGCAAACTTTCATCCCCTATTTTTCGCGATAAAATGTAGCCTATGTCCTTTCTTAAAGTTAAGTCTATTTACTATATTAATTTCCATTTAGATGAGTTCAGTTGTTTAGGCGTCTAAGTGTAACAACACTTATTTATCTTACCTTAAGCTATCGATACTAGAACCATACGCTGATCAAATTAGAACTATACCGAGTTTGCAGAGATATATACCAACTATATTAAATCATCATATAAAATATAGCATTTTATATTCAACAATAAATATCGATTATAAGTTAATTAGAAATTAACAATATTGCCGAAATAAATATCGATTCAAATCGATTATTTTTTCCCAAGCCTATACCTTATGAATTTTCCGGATCTCGGACACAGCAGTGCACAAGCGTAAACACGTTTTTCATTGCCGCCATCACGGACCTGAAAAAACCGGTCCGGAATAGAGAAAAGTAAAATTCCGGACGGTAAAATTCCTGACAGTGCACAAGCGCGCATTACCTACATATGGCCTGACATATCGGACCTGAAAAAATCGGACCGCCGGACATGAAAATTCCTGAAATGTTGCCCCTAGAGTTTTCAAGCCCATAAGCATAAAACGGAATGTCCCAACCCAGTTAGCAATTTAAACTTGTTTCAGACCTGCAATAAGTTTGATACATCCAAAAAAAAGACTTGCTTCAAGTATGCCATGACAACTGCAGCAAGTTTAAATCAAACTTTCTATTTCGGTGTACTGACTCGAATACCTAGCAGGTACTCGCGTACTCGAGTACCTGGAATACAGGTTTCGAGGCAAATATTACTTTATGTTTACTAAGTTTTTATTAATCTTTTGATAATTCATAAATTTTGGTCCACAACGATTGAGACTTTAAACTCAGACCACAGCACAGAGCCTAGTCTAAGAGCCACAGTAGTTAACTGGAACGGTTAGTTTAGAATTACATTAAACGGCATATTACTTATACAATCTAACAATATAAACTGATACCGCGATGCATTAAATGAACAGCGCCATCTAGTTTGCAGACTTAGAGCTATTCGGGGACCTATGAAGATGATGGGTGTGTTACAAATAAGTATCTTTGTCATAACAATATTCAAACAATATTGTCGCAATCTTGAAACTTCATATTTAACATAACAATATTGCAGCGACATTATCACAAACTTGCCTCGTATATTTGACGCAGCAATTTAGAATCAAAGAAAAATCAAACTTGCCCAAAGTTAGCATGCTATCTGTGAAGTGGCATCATAAACGCTGTCTTGTCATGGCGAGTGGTTCGCACGCCAGTTTCAAGGTGTCGCCATCTCTGAGGTCCAGAGTTCGATTCCCGATCAGGCCAATATAATCTTTTCTGTATTGTCTCGGGTCTGGGTGTTGTGGTCAGGCGCGTTCGTTGTCTCAGATACCCACCAATACGGGGGCTTTACCTACTCATCTTGGAATCTGAGCAATGTATGATGTTGTTTAATATTTAATATATGTTTTAAAGCCGTCCCCGCCCGCCAGTCGTACGCAGATCTCGCCGCTCAGTCGCCACCGGTCGTTTGTCGTTTGCTGGAGGTGCGTTCAGTTGCGTTGCCGCATCGCCGCCGACACACCGTTGCGAAGCGCCTTTTTTGACACTTTTTGTTTTGTTTTGGTTACATTTTTAATTGAATTCTTGTTAATAAGATAGTACAGTGTTCGTCTTGAGTGTTTAGTTAAGTGTAGACTGTGTTTAGTTTTGTGTATAATGTGATGTGATTTTGCGCGTGCACCGGCACGCAAAACAGCGTGCTTAGCTCGGTCTGTAGAGAGGAAGTGGACATTTTAAGCATCGACTATCATAAGATATCGGTAAATAACTAAATTAATGTATTTCACGGTCCCTTGTAATCTGCACACAATCGATATAGCGCATGCGCGTTATAGGGCTGTCAACAATTAGAAATTAAAAATTAAAAAAAAACCGAATGAATATCAACTGTCATTATTCAAAAATCACTAGTGACATCTAGTTTGATTTCGAGAACTAATCAAAGAATACGTGCATGCATTTCTTCATCTCAATTTCATTAATGCTACAAGTTTTTCAAGTCGATTACTGTTGAAAAAATTTTATAAGTACTTTAACATTAATGTTATGAACTCGTCTTAAACAAAATTATTTTTTTTTAGTGCGCGCAAATAAGTTTATTTTTTTTAACTTTTTATATTATATTTATTACTTTTTAATTTAAACTATTCATTCTATTCATTTTTGACATAATATCTGTATTGCGAGGGGTTTTTCCTGTTAATTTTATATATGCTGTTGATCTCATAAAGACGGCTCTAAAGTGCCCAAACACGATGTAGTTGCGTCATCTCATCACTAAGTTGCTATGACCACCTTCCGACATCATCATCATATCAGCTACTGACACCATAATATTGCATTGACATCTGACTTACATGTCTATGCAAGATTTCAAATCTATCGAACATTAGAATTTTTCAATCAAACTTGAGTTCCAAGATTTGCACATTAACTAACATACTAACAAGGAAACATAAATAAAAGCTTTTTCAATACAAAATTATATTATAGTTAAGTTTGTTGTTATGACAACAATAATAAAAAAAAACAAATGATTATCAAATACATATTCAGATTAAAACGATTTAATTATTTCATTTCTATTTTTTTTTTTATAATTTACGTAACATGTACTGGTGTTTTAACCTTTAGGGGGCTAGATTTCAGATATTAAAGATTTGAAAATTTATTTATTTTTCAATCAAACTATTTTTTGTAACAATGATTTTAATTATTGGAAATACAAATTGTGTGAAATGAATTTATTAGCAAATGTCAAATTACCTTTATTATGTGAAATGGATTAATATAGGTAATTTACAAGTTATGTATGATAGAAGATACATAGAATTTTAGAGTGAGTTAAGAAGCTCTGCAGAAATAACTAAAACTAAAAGCTTTTGAAATGTTTAAGTCAACAAAGACTGAAAGGATGTAGAGATGTTCTATACAAAGAGGTTAATACAATCCCACCATCTTATGTAAACCATGTATGAATTATAAAATGGAATAATAAAAAAATAAAAAAAATACTATGTCTATATTTAAAATAGCTTAAGAGTAAAATTGAGGGAATCTAATTATTTACATTATTTTAGTCAGTTGCTGAACCTTAACTCTGTGATCTTTCTTTTGGCTCGAGTGATGTCCATATAAAGCCTGTGTAGTTGTTGACCTCCTTATCTATAAGAGGGTATGGACTGTTAGTAGCTTTGTAGTAGTCAGATGGCGCATGCATCACAAACTCCATCACATCAAGCTTACGAGCTAGCTCCTCCTCCGGGCCTGGAATAAACAAACATGTGATGTATCACACACGTTAAACAAGTGGGCATATCAAACTGAAGTCAAAGTCAAAATAATCTGTATTCAAATAGACTTCTTAAAAGTACTTTAGAATCATCCACCATTTTTTTCCCTACCACTCGTTCAGGACGTCTTTTGGCTGATAAGAAGAACAAGCAAGAAACTCACCAGCTCTTACAAAAACCATGTCATTACCAGATCAACACATTATAAACAGAGAGAAAAGAAAACTATGGTCTTATAATGATAACATAATCATTTAATAATAATGGAAACAAGATAATGAGTTGAGAAGTAATCACCTATCCAGTTGCTGGATCATCACAAGTCCAATCGTTCTTATCTGTTATAATCAGATACCTTAAGATTACCTTTTTTTAAATACATATTTTTAATAGTAGATTTAAACTGCATGATATCTAATTGTTGTATTTTGCTTGGGACCTTATCGTAGAAGCGCACACAAAGACCCTTGAATAAGTTATTAACTTTTTGCAGTCTAATGACAGGCACCGTTAATTTATTTTTATTTCTTGTACTAAAATTGTGATGTATTTTTATAGAAAACAAACTAATATTTTTACGAACATACATTAAGTTCTCGTATATGTATTGAGAAGCAACAGTCATAATGTCTATTTCCTTAAATTTCTCCCTTAAAGAATCCCTAATCCTAAGATTATAAATTGATCTAATTGCTCTTTTCTGAAGCACAAAAATTGTTTGTATGTGGGCAGCATTTCCCCACAATAGGATTCCATATGACATTACACCATGAAATTTGACATATTAATTAGATTTGGAAATCATGATATCTAATAAAATTTTGTAGAAATAGTTTATTTACAAGAAAATATTTAAAACAATAATGTTGTTCCTGCCTTTTACCAAAAAATCAAACAGACAAATTTATGATGTTACTTTGATTGAAATTTACATTGCATTGTACATTATTTTGTTTTAGAACAGTTCATACAATTTGGGAGAGTAATACATTGATATTATACTTGCCTATAATGTAAGTAGCAGGATCAAATCCTTTCTCAGGTGGAGGACTTGCTTTGGTAGGTAGCAGCCAAGTAACTACTGCACTCTTTTCACAATACTGGTCAGTCATGAAACCACGGATTTGGGCATAGTAAATACCACCATCTAGATCTACCATAGATACTATATCCCCAACCTGCATGTATGTTCCCTGAAAAATCATATACTTCATTCATCAAACCTTTCATTTCATTTACATACTAATAAAAATAAATAACCAATTTTATTGATTATCCAGTACTGATTTCTACTTGGTTTTGTGAATTTATTAGGAGCACTGCTTTTAAATATGAAGAATAACAATGAAGTGTACCTTGTAGAAAACAGAGTCACTGGTAACAACTGTGGCAGTAGCAGTTGGTGCTTTGACGGGCTGCCTCTTGAAGATACTTCTACGGCCGCGGCCGCGCGGTGCCGGCTGTCTGGGCGCAGTTGGTGCCGGAGTCTTCGGTTTATAACGAGTTGCGCGTGTACTTTTCCGTGTGCCTTTCCCAGTAGCTTTTGCGGGCGTAGACTCTACTTCATTCTTTCCATTCTTACTATCTGTCTCTTCTCTGTCTTCCTTTTTATCATCACCTTCGGTTTTAATGGAAGTTTCTACCTTTATTTCTTTGGTGGAGCTGGTGTTGGTTAAGTGACAATCATTGCATAATTGACCGTTTTCACCGCTCCTCCAAAGTAACGAATCGTTAGTGTCACATTGTACACACGTTGGTTTTGGCATTATTGAAGAATTTTGGTAAATAATATCAAAATTTACATCACAAACTACATAGGTCAACAGAACCACAGACTAAGAAGAAGATACTGCACAGAACGCTTAATGACTACTCTTTGGCTTACTCCAATGAGTAGTATTATAAACCACAGATTAAGACAGTGTTGCCATATGCTATTATGTCTTCCCCCCAAACCTCACTACAAATACCCCCAAAAACCCAGTATTAAAAAAGACAACAACAAAACAATTGTCCTTTTAATCAATTATAGTTAGAAAATCATTCATTTTAGTTTCTTGTTTTAAACTTTGATTTTTTTCTTCACAAAAGCTGACCAATTAGGCAGTACTGAAGGATATTACTGCAAATAAAGAAACAATTACATTTTGATTACTAAAGACAAGACAACGAAAACTCTCCAATAAAATAAAAAAAACAAGAGAAAACAGTAGATTCAGAGAAAAAAGGCATATTTTATCAGTATAAAATATGCCTTTTTTCTCTGAAATACAGTTATTCACATAATTAAATCAATCACATACTTTTTTAGTTAACAAGACTTATATTGATAGACAATATTAATCACAAAATAAAGAAAATATTCCGTTCCCATTTCCCCGTGCATAAAAATATGACTCTGAAATTCTATGTGCTGTGGTGGGCATATCAACTTAAACGACGAGAAAATTAACGAAAATATGATAATGTCAAAAATATTGTCTACTCTAACTGATAAATTTGCCTTTTTCTTAACTGCATGGGAATCCACTCCACAAGATGAAAAAACTCTAATAAATTTAACGTCTAGATTGATTTCTGAAGAAAAAAGAACAAATTTAAATGAAGAAGAAAAACCTATTGCATTTAAAGCTACACACAATAAGAACAAATATAGTAAACAAAATAATAAAATGTTCTGTAGAATATGCAAGAAAAATAATCATACTGAAAACATGTGTTACTTTAGAAAAAAATGTGCCATATGTAAAAAATCAAACCATGAAACACAGAACTGTTTTTTCAAAAAAAGTAAGCCTGTAGCTTTACTGACAACAAAGTCAAATGAAATCATTAATAAAACTATAGATTTCATTGTGGATTCTGGATGCACACAACATATGACCAATAATGTTCAGATATTGTCTGACGTCACTGATCATGACAGTACTATATCGACTGCCAAAAATGATACATGCATTAAGACAATTGGCCAAGGAAATATAGTAACAAAACAATTTTCAATTAAAAACATATAGTATGCACCTGAACTTCATAAAAACCTCTTGTCGGTCAATAATATGACAGAGAAAGAAGCCACAGTGACTTTCACAAAAAATGAAGTAATAATAAGTAAAAACGATATACAAATAAAAGGAAATAAAACAAAAGAAGGATTATATAAAATAAAACTAAATATGAATACAGAAGCTACATCTTTATTAACCGGAACCTGTAATAAAGCGCTAGATTGGCATGTAAAACTAGGCCACCCCAGTAATCAAGCATTGGAAAATATGATAAAAAATAAGCTTGTAGAAGGTATGGATTTGACTTTAAATGATATGAAATCATTAGAAAACTCTTGTGAAACATGCTTTAAAGCGAAACAAGTAAGACATCCTTTCAATACAGTAAGAACTCGAGCTTTAAGACCACTACAAATAATTCACACAGATATTTGTGGACCAATCACACCACAAACACATAACAATGAAAAATATATACTGACATTTTTGGATGATCACACTCATTTCGCAAAAATAATGTTACTTCAAAGAAAATCAGAAACATATGAATGTATAAAGAATTATATTGAAGACTCTGAACGAAAATATGATTATAAAGTATGTACAATACGTTGCGATAATGGGGGTGAATACATCAAAAAAGATTTTAAAAAGTACTGTTTCAAAAAAGGTATCAATATTGATTATACAATTCCATATACACCACAACATAATGGAAAAGCAGAAAGGCTCAATAGAACCTTAATGGAAAAGGTACGAGCATTACTTTTAGATTCAAAGTTAGACAAATCGATGTGGGGAGAAGCAGCAAGAACTGCAATTTTCTTACTCAACAGAACTGCAACTACAACTACAGAAAAGGTACCTTATGAAATGCTCACAGGTGAGAAGCCAAACATTAAGACATTGATAAAATTCGGCAGTGAAGTTCATAGTAAAATATTAAGACCGAGACTCAACAAGCTTGATGATCGTAGTGAAACCTTAATTTTCATAGGATATGCTCCTAATGGATATAGACTGTGGAATAAACATACTGAAAAAGTCATAGTAAGAAGAGATATAAAACCAAAGAAAACAGATAAAGAAAAGCATGAAACTAAAACAATAAAATACTATGACGTAAATCAATACAACTCCATAACATCAGATGAGTATGATAACATGTCACCCTCATGCTCTGAAGGTAGTAATAGTGAACATGAAAATGGCGATGAAAAAAGAAATATAAATAAAACAAATAAATATATGAAATCAAAAATTGAATTCGATAAGACACCAACAATAAAAGCCAAAAAATATAATATGATAAAAGAATCAGATAAAGAAGTAAAAATAGAAGATAAGATTTCAAAAAACATTGAAGACAACAATGAAAGTATGAAAAATGAAGAACCCAAACAAAAAGAAATATGTGAAAATATACCTAAACGACAAACTAAATTACCCAAAAGATTTGAAGACTATGTAATGATAACATATAAAGAAGCAATAATGGGATCAGATAGTGAAAAATGGCTTCAAGCAATTAACGAAGAAAAAACGTCACTTAAAGAAAACAATGTATGGACGGAAGTAAATATGAATGAAGCCGAAGGTAAGAAAATCTTAACAAATAGATGGATATTAAAAATCAAAGATGATGGTAGATACAAGGCACGGTTGGTAATAAGAGGATGTGAACAAGAAGAGGTCAATGACACCTTTAGCCCAGTGGTAGGCAGCAGTCCATTGAGGGCACTTTTAGCTATCACTGCACATAATAACTTTCATATAAAGACATTTGACATTAAAACAGCCTTTTTATATGGCGAGCTGGATGATGAAGTATATATGTATCCACCTGAAGGCATAGAAATCAATGGCATATGTAAACTGAATAAAGCTCTCTATGGTATGCGTCAAGCACCATTAAGATGGAATAAAACCATGACAGATTTTTTAAAATCACAAAACTTGGAACAACTCGACACAGAACCTTGTATTTTCAAAAACAAGGAACGAACCGTTTTCCTAGGAATACATATAGATGATGGAATATTAGTTGGAAAGGACCATAAAGAAATAGACATAATACTGGATCAAATAGCAAAAAGATTCAAGACAACAACAGATAAAAATCCACACAAATATCTAGGAATGGAACTGCAAATAACAGAAAATAAAATAGTTCTGAAACAAGAAAAAATTATTGAGAAGCTATTAGAGGAATATAACATGAAAAATGTAAAAACAGCTGATACACCAATGGAACCAGTTAAAATCAGAACCAGTCCTAAAAATGAAAGCTTTCCCTATCAACAACTCCTCGGAAGTTTAACATATATTTGTAACAAAACCAGACCTGAAATAAGTTTCCCAGTTAATTACTGTGCCAGGAAAACAGAAAATAGGACAGATGAAGATGTGACTATTCTGAAGAGGATTCTAAAGTATTTGAAAAAGACAAAGAGTAAAGGATTAGTGTACAAAAAATCTTCAGAAGAAATAAAATTAACAGCATACTGTGATTCAGACTATGCTGGTGACACTGAAACGAGAAGAAGCACAACTGGATACATAATATACTTAAAAAAAAATTACTCTCCAATTAGTTGGTGTACCAGAAAGCAGCCTATAGTGTCTCTTTCTACAACTGAGGCAGAATACATTGCAGCAGCAGAATGCGTAAAAGACCTTTTGTATCTGAAGTCCATGTGTGAAGAGCTTCTCTGTGTAACAATCCAAGCTATCTTACATATAGACAACCAAAGCGCTATTAGCCTCATTCAAAATGGAATTATAAATAGACGCTCAAAACATATCGATGTTAGATAAATATATACAAGAGAAAGTGAAAAATGGTGATATTCAAATCTGCCATATACAAACAAACGAACAAATTGCTGATATATTCACCAAACCTCTTAATAAAATTAAATTTAATCACCTAGTATCCAAAATTGTTCAGTGAAAATTTAAACATCTTTTTTTTCTCATATATTTTGTAATGTATGTAATGTAACTTTGTAAAACGTAAAAAAAAAATGGAGGTTTATGTTGTATTACTAAAGTTTAAAAAGTATGTTTTTTGTCTATGACTACTCTGGTACTGTGCTAATGGCTACTATAATAAAAAATAGATTGTGATTTGTGAGAGAAATATACCTGTGTGCAACAGTTGAGAATAGGGTTTAGGCTCGGTGCACTAAAATCTTCTTATGCGGATGAAGCACCGATTTCCAGCCATCACCCTGAAAGAAATGAGCGGGGACAAAATATTTAAATGCTAATCCACTATTAAAACAAAAGGGTTTGTAATACTGAACTGAATGAGGAAGTATTTAAAAAAATTAGTTCCGTTATAGTAATAGTAATAGTTTTTATAAATAAAATACTTATGCCAAAGTAGGTCTTATGCCAATGAGAAGGTATTAAAAAAAAACAGACAGCACCAAAAAAAGCACCTCCACTAGATGGCAACACTAGCAAAAGTTGATTTTTGCAGGAAACGAATGGACCAAAGATAGTCATTTCTGTTCCTCTTAACTAACATATTAAAAAACTGAAATTTGCAAAGTTCGAAACTTAGATATCAATACAAATACTTCAAATAGAATATGAGTTGTTTATTGAGTTTTGAAAACTAATTTACTTTTATACACGAAAGAAAACCGGAGGGGTTGTCATGGAGAAATCAAGAAAGTACTGGAGCGACATCTAGTATGATTTCGGAAACTATTTTTCTTTTAAATACTTCCTCATATTGAATATTGAAATCCTTTACTTTGTGCTGCCATCTAGTGACACATTTTTTTTAAATATTCCTCATCATCTTGATAATCTCAAATAGTCTGTTCCTGCTATGAAAACGAACAAAGTATAAACAAACAATAATTAACACTAAGTCTGTGATAATTAACTTTGTTACCGTTTGAAGTAATATTTTTTACCAACAATGAGTCGAAAAGAAGCTCTCTCATCTTTTATACAACAAATCCATGGTCGGCCAGTTGTGGTTAAATTAAACAGCGGCGTCGATTACAGAGGTATATTGACATTTATTTTTATGATACAATAAAGGGAATATAATTGTCACACATATATCATGATAATATTTATAAATACCTTTCTCTATTTGCAAAATAAATAGTCCTTTCGTTTTAGGTTATACTTATGTTGACATTCTGTAACTGGCCTCTTAATTCCAGGAGTACTGGCATGTCTGGATGGTTACATGAATATAGCTTTAGAACAAACTGAAGAGTATGTTAATGGTCAATTAAAGAATAAGTATGGCGATGCCTTCATCCGTGGTAATAACGTTCTGTACATCAGCACCCAGAAGCGGAGGATATGAGACAGTGGCTCAATAAAGTTTAAGTAAGCTTAAGTAAAGTAAGTTTAACTCCGCATAGTGTTTTATTTTATCAACTGATTTGTTAAGGTTCTACTTTAATCCTCATAGTTAAATACATTTACATCTATTAATAAAAAGACAATGTATAATATGAATGAATTTTATTTGAGGATTAAAAAATTACACCTGATAACGATTTTACACAATTGGCAGTGTGTATAAAAGTAAGATATCCATAATAATCAACTCATAAACAGTAAATCTCAGTACTGTAAAAGCTCCTTATTCTTCCTTCCTTATTCATGTTTTTATTATTCCCAGGTGAAAAATTGTAACTCAATTTCTGTACTTGTTGCTAAAATTTGATATTTGCAGATGCAATTGGTAACATAAAGGGAATCGGAAGGTGACAATGTGTTTATAAACACATTGTCACCTTTTACATACTTAGGGCATGTGTTGAGGTGGCTTTTATTTATGCTTTTTTGTAGCATTCATAAAATACTTAAAAAACTATATGTATTGTGAATGTTACAGCCAGTTGTGAATATGAATTTAAAGATCTTAATACCTGAAAAATAGGATACTGAATAAAATCTTTAAAAGCTCTTATTTAAAGCTGACAATAGAGTTTGATTTAATCTGGTGGGCTCTCAATAATCTTACCTGAATTGTATTTATTTTAACATACATATTGCTTTTACTTTGGAACCTTCTAATTTAATGGTGGATACCTATAATTTAATACTAAATGCCATCCTGTATTCGCATTTTCTGTATTTGTGGCATATTTAAGGAATGTATCCCACGCTAATAAGGAGCTTCTACTGTATATTCTGAGTGCAAATTATAGTGCACTAGATTTCGTCAGCGGCTTCACCTGTGTGGTCCCTTGGGAGATGTTTAGTGGGATAATAAATATCCTATTATCTAAGTCATACCAAATTGCATCAAAATTTGTTCAGTAGTTTCAGTGTGATTGACAAACAAACATCCAAACAAAGAAACTTTCACATTTATAATATTAATAGGATTTATCTACACAATATTTAAAGTTTAATACTACCATTACCAAAATGAAAAAATACATAAGTACTAGTAATAATACCTAATTTCTGTTTCAGTTAGATTTAAATGCATTAAAAAAATGTTTTATGAAAACCAGAACCACTTTTTGACTAGATTACATGTAGAACATGATGTCTGTTTGACTCAATTACAAGTATAGTATTGTACATATCAAAAATTGACAAACATGCCACTTGTAACACTTAGTGGTCATGATTATTAACAGCATTGTCTTGTTGCGCCCCCGGATATGTGAAGTAGAACTTCACTGCACCAATATCCTGTAATAACAAAATTTTATATCATAATGAACTTTGAATGGTGTCTGTCAGTACTGCGTTGCTACACTCTTGGATTTTGAAATGAAATCTTGAATCATCATGTCCCTAATTTTCAGTCCATTTTGAAAAAAAGCCAAAATATCCAAATGGTGTCTGACGTCAGATCAGCAGCACCATTTTCATGAATTATTCCTGTATTTCCAGTTGGGCACATTATGGTAAAATGACTAAAATGTATTAAGAGCCAATTAAGAAATAATACTGTGTCATCGCTGACTCTAGACTCGCATCAACACAGCAGCTGCACTAGTGTGTCTTCAGTTCATTACACTTTAGAATTATTTAAAGCTCAAATAATATTAGCATGATTTCATAAACAAAAAACTTTTGATATCCTACAAGTATTCACCAGTCCAAACTACTAACAAGTGAAATAAAATCATGCAAGGTATCTCAGTAACCACAATATTGTAACACTGACTACTCTGAAAGAATTCCATATTCTAAAACAAAAACTCATTTATATCTGAAACAAAATAACTTTGCTATTTAGGGACTCAATGAGTGGAGAATTCATTTCAAAAATCAAATTTCACCATGAAATTGTTTCTGAAAAATTGACTTAAATAGAATTTCAACTGCAGTTTCTTATACCGTGTCTCGTCAAATTTTGAGATTAATTCAACATTACCTAGTTTTCCATTAAGGAGCATTTGCCACCTTTGACAAAAATGACATGGAAAATACAATATTATTTAATTTAAAATATTTTCTTATTTATCCAACATGGGTGGTAACGATTACTTAAAAGAGCTTGAGATAATAAACGAGATTGCCTTTTTCTGTACCCTGTAGCGTCACAGGTACACTATTACCAAAAAATAATGTTTAATTTGTATGTATTTACCACTGGTTTTTAAGCTATATTTTTGACCGCAAAAATGATAATATATAATTAAAAATTCGCCTACTTCCGTTAAAAAATGCATATTCGGAAAATAACGTTCCGTATACAATAAACATAAACTGATAATGATCTAAATATCAGCCTCAAATTCACAAGTGCATAATTATAGTGTAAAATAATAATTATTTAATGGTATTCAATCAATGACGTTTTAAATAGTTTTATTTTATCTAATTAAGAAAAAATAAATCGCTCATTTTATTATAAAAACAAAACGGGTTACTTCGCCTTTTTAATTAATGGCGTTACCCTTGTGGTGGAAATCGGAAACCGAAATATTGCACTGTTAAGTGTCAATCTATCGACGGTTATTCCCATACTGTACCTACAGTGTTATTAATTATTAATAAACAAGGTTTAGGGTTGGAGTAAACTGCACTTAGTATTAGTCAAAATTCATATCGTTAAACAGACACTTGGCAAAGGTTTACCTGTGGGACGTTCTACGGGAGTAATATTTACTCCTAGAAAGTAGTTGGTAGGTTTGCTTATTCTCTGTATAATATGAATTTGGACTAATACAAAAATTGCAATTTTAGCGTTAATTTACTCTGACGCTAAATCTCGTTTACTAATAGCACTGATTGTGTTTTTAATTCTCTTTGATTTCCTATTATATGTTGCTCTATCGACGTTTATGTCGGTTGATCGATGTATTTGCTACATTTGTGTCGTATTATTATTTTAATGAATAAAATTATTGACAGTATTTACATATTTACATTTGTAATGTGGCATATCGAAATAGTTACTCTGAAGTGATTTGCTGTGTGGTTGGCATTTGTAGTACCAGCTTATTTCTTAAAAATAAATAGAAAATATCTCTTAAGTGTTATTATCACGTAAGTGTAGTAATCTATATCGTGCAAATTTACTTCTTAAGTGCGGCCGGCCATATTTCTATATACCTAAATAATAAATGGTGTAATAATCAAAGTTATTAAATATCAATAAAATATACGCGGGCTCTTTATTATTTTTTTAGAATGCCCCAAAAATGCGGTACAGTTATGATAAAATCTTGATGGTAGTGAAAATTTAAATAAAAATTTGACTCGTAAATGTGGGTCGATGCGAGTTTATAGGAATCCACATACAAAAAAAGGCATCCCCCTATCACCTGTCCCAATGTCACCTACATAAATTACTAGGTTTTCGCCCGCGTGGTCTTGTATTATACATCAATATTATTACGTTGATACAACTCTTAACAAATAATGCATGAATTTCGACCAAATTTGATTACCATAAAAACGTAGATACTATGTAGAACAATAAGGTAGATACTAAATAAATACCAATAATAATAAATAACTCCTCGAGGTCATCGCTAAGAAGGCTCAACTTTGTTGTTGCTTTCTGCAGCAAATTATATTTTAAACTTTAATTTTCTGTAAATTTTTGTATTATATGTGGTACATGGGTAAGATGGGGAATATTAACTATTGCATTTTAGGTACATGGGTACCAATAATGCAATTGTTAATATTAATCTAGTCAACTACGGTTAGTGTTATATCCATACTACATTCTACTACTTATCACGTTTTAAAATATGTGGATACCTATCATCGATTCTATCAAGGAGTATCAACGAAAATAATAACCATAAGGTTAGGTACTCACCTTATCTAAGGGCACATCACTAGGACCTTTGCCGTTCCCCAAATCGACAATCAGTTTTTCCCCTCTAACTCCATAATTTTTCACATAGCTTTCCCTATATTTCTTCCCTGCTTCTGGATCAAAAGTGGAGTCAACCTTGTAGTTTAAAATCCTCGGATTGAACAGTGGCGCCCAAAAACTTGAGTATACATATACACATTCGTATCGAGCGACAACGATACACAAAATAATAATTAAATAAAATGTTTGGTATCGACTCATGTTCGAGATGCAAATTTCACAACAGCCAATGGACTAATGTCAAGATTAAGGAAGTGTGTACGCACTTTAGATGATATATACGGTAAATAGAGTTGCCTAGAGTTTATATTTGTGAATGATCAGTTTGTTTGCTATGCTAACTTATTTTCAAGGTTTTGGATGTCGCGCACCATTAAGTTGATTTTATTATGAGTACTGGGACGCTATTATGTAATGTCTTTTCTTGTACTTGTGCTCTGCCTAGCTCTGTTTTTTTATATATTTAATTCACATTCGTGTCGTAATTTTTAGAAGCATACTTTATCTTTTAAAAGTAAAATTTTATTTTGCTTGCCCTCTTATTGAAGACTAGAAATGGAATGGTTTAATAGTTTAATAAAAAAAACTTATTTAAAATAGTATTTATTGGTGAACACCCGAGCAACGGTGCTTGTTATATAAGACCCAGGTCATGTCTAGCATGGAGTACTGTTCGCATCTTTGGGATGACTCCGCAAAATATCTGTTGGATGCCCTAGACAGGCTGCAGCGCCGGGCAGTGCGCATCATAAACGATGAGGGGCTAACCAACAATCTTGAGCCACTGCAAATGAGGCGTGATATTGCCTCACTCAGTGTGTTCTACCGGCTCTATCATGGAGAATGCTCTGAGGAATTATTCAACATTCCCCCTTCCTCCTTCCGTAACAGGTTGACACGTGCCGGTGTTCGTTGCCATTCCCAGACTATTTGTACTATACCAACTCGTACAAAAAAATTCGGCAAATCATATATTTGCCGTACCATTAAAATGTGGAACAGTCTCCCATCCCACATTTTTCCCATTAAATATAACCTTGGGTGCTTCAAAAGAGGTGTGAAAAGGCTCTTAAATAGGCCGGCAAGATAGTGGTGGCTACCAGGAGTAGTTTCGACTTCTGACAGCTGCGACTATTTTTAGACTGTAATATCACTTCCCACCAGATGTATTACAGTCACTTTGTCGTGCAACAATAAAAAAAAAAAAAAAAGAATCGCCAACAATTTATCACAGACCAGCTTTCCAACAGCGGCGTCGCTCGCGTGATCCTGATTTATAAATTAAACCTTCCTCTTGAATCACTCGAAATCTTGATCAAAAACGCATTAAAATCTAATGTATACTTTAAAATATATAAATGTACAGACAACAACGACTTTGTTTTGTACTTATGTAGGTACCGTTGGTGTCAGAGTATAACCACAGAGTAATCAAGTGAACTACATGTTTCATGCCTACGCTCGGCGCTTGCGCTAAGGTGGTCAACTTTAGTAGTGACACTCGTATCTAGTTGTTTGATTGATTGTTGAGAATGAAACACAGAAAAAAAAAACAAACTTATAATGTTTTTTTTTTATTGTTAAGATATTAGCTTAGCGGAACCGCCGTAGGTATGAAAGGAAATGAAGTACATACACTTGATTACCTTCTGTTGTATTCTGTGCTCGGAGCTCGAGTAACCGTACTCATGTGGTTATACTATGGCACCAGATTTACCTACCGGTGACCCGATGCAAGGTGAGAATATTGCCAATTAACTTTGAGTCACATCGACAGCACACTTCCTGATTTACCTACTCCGACTTATGTAGAGAGGGTAAGGTCGACTAAAATCAACTAAATAAAACTACTGTACGAATTACTTAATTAGATTTACACCTGCGATGTGGAAGGCTTATCTGATTTTAATTTCGGATTCTGAAAAAATAAATTGTGTATTTACCTACCTAGAATACAATTGATTGCTTCCATTCAACAGGCTCCGTAATTACTGGGCCGATAAAAAAAATCTTATACTATGAAAATTGTACATTATCGCCCATGAAAATAGGCAACGAAAGTAAGTTAATGTACGTATCAAAATATTTATTAATAAAAATAAGAACAATACAATTCTGTGTCTATATACTTATACTAAAACAACTTCCAACATAACTATAAATGACTATTTACAAATTATCTACTATATCCACACCTTTGGTTTTATGCGTATGGGTAACCCCGCTAATAGTGGGTTTGGATTGGAGTTGGGCGATTCGTTTCGTTGTGAATGTCAATCCGTAACTTATAAATTTCCATCACGTCGTTGCTGACTGAGTTTAATAGATGTTTCTATGTTGTTTAGAGTGAGTGAGTCAGTGTATGCCCTCCAACGGAGAGAAGGACTTGTACTGGTAGAGCTCGGGCCCGCCGTACCCGTACAGCAGCTTGCCCTTACCGTTCTCGTCGTAGTACGGGTAACGATAGTTTGGTCTGAAAACAAACATTAAATCACCGCACCTACTTCAGTGTTCATAAACTAACAAAATGAATAGTATTCGAGCTGAATTGCTCCTAAAATTTATATTGCATTACAAATATTGATTATTCAAGGAGGATTTCTGTCAACTTTTTAAGTTCACCCCATTTTAGCTTAGTTGTATGTTTCTGTCTACTTGGGCATGGCATCGAATTTGTGTGCAGCAGTTGGAGTTGCATGTTGGTAGGTACCTACGAGTATACATAGTAATGAATAACTAATAAGAGCTCGCCCACCTCTCGAAGTACTGGAAGTTCGGCGCTCGCGGCTGCGGCAGCGTGCCCTCGGTGCTCACCGACAGCGACGCCAACAGTAACACCTGCAATAACCGTCGTCAATATCAACATCAATTACCTATACTTAGGTACATATTAAACCATTTTAAACATTTTTTTTATACGATCAAATTTCGCAATGTAGATTACATTATTTGCAAAAAATAATTAATTTTCTAACAGTAATACATAATTTTTATATGTATGAGCTTTTGCCCGCAACTTCGTGCGCGTCGTATTGTTACTTTGGGCATCATTTCTAAAACGACTATTTATTCATACAAAAACCTGTTAATAAAATATGACATAATCTAAACAAAACACTGGATTCGGCGAAATCCACAAGGGCAATACCATTGATTAAGAAGAAGAAGAATAATAATAAAGAAAAAGATATGTCATCGGTGCATCCACATGAAAATAAACTTCAATTAAAATAGCCATATAAATCAAATAATAATAATAAATGTGGAAAAAATCGATTTATTATATAACAATTTACGTTGGCCCAATGCAGATTGCAGGGCATCAATGACTGAATAATATGCAGCCGGGACCGGCGAAATAACGTGCCTTCCGAATTACGGAGTAGCTCGCGATAATATTTTTTTAGTTATCCATCCCGTGACCGACCTTAGCGAAAGTTGATTAACAACGACGATCGCAGGCCGCGACGCTTATCCACTATGTCAATTTTTACCACAAAATAAGGAAATTTTTATAAATAAAATTAAGGTAGATTTATTAAAACGACATATCAAATTGTGAACAATGGCTGCTATGAAAATATTTTAAATCGCATAACAACTTTCACTCCATTTTCATCCCTTTAAGTGTTAGTTTTCGGGATAAAATATACTTACCCTATTATCTTCCTTGGGTCTTAAACTACCAATTTTTATCGATTTAGGTCCAAAAACAAAAAAGTGTCATACAAACGTTTTGACCCTTTTTTACCCCCATCAGGATAGAAATTTCATCATTGTGAAAATCCGTTCATTGTAAATACGTAATAAGAGGAATGTCCTCTCCAAATTTTCAGCACAGCAGTTTAAGCTGTGCGTTGTCAGTCAGTCAGTATGTCAGGACATATCCTTTTATATATGTATAGATGACATAGCTATTTCAAAATTGTAGGCGCAACTTTCATTGCATAATACAAAGGTTTATGCGGGTCACGCCATTTTGTTTCAATATAAATATCATGTTTTAATTTAATGTACAGATTCTTGACGGAACTCTAGAAAGAGGTTTTAAGATATTTAAAGTTAGGACATTAATATAAAACAATAAGTTACCGTTGCATTACCTATCTGAATTATTTTCTTGGCAGCAGCAAACAAGATTATACATACAGGTAGAAAACAAAAGAAAAGGCTATTATCTACCGTATACGTTAAGGAAAGTCAATACTTATGTTTTGGGCAAATTAAAATAACAATAGGCAGGTATCGTCTCCGCTCGTAACATCGCTCTCCACGAGATACCTAACCTACGTTGAACCTCTATACACGATACGCGTCACGCATCTCCTGACCCACGCACACTTTCACAACTGAACCGATTACACAACGAACAGAACTCACAAAAGAAAGTTTTTACAACATTGTAATGGAACATATAGTGAACACTGACCGTACACAAGAAGTATTGGACACTCGCCATCGTGGTGACACTATTCACTCGCAGATTGTGGACACAGTACCGGTGAACAAACCGTTACCTGCGTTTAATGGTAGGTCGGTCGCGTTACTGCAGACCGAGCGCGCCATTCCTCTCTCTCACCTGATGGCCCCCTACCCCTGCAACCTGTTACACTGATGCTTGATGTACACATACCAGCAGCTACGTCACTCGATCCTTCACTTCATAGATAACGCATATATGTAATCAATTTTAAAACCCTCGGATTGTTGTACAAACGATCATTAAGGTTCAATAACGCCTTTAAGCTAATTTTGTATGACTACTGTAGCTTTAAACTGTTAATCCGATGTCATGTGCCAAAACATAAGCGGGGTTAAGATATTTTAGTACCATTGCCGTTTTATTTTGCTTTATTAATTGTAATTACTGTTAATGTTCTAGTACTTGATGTTTAAATTTATAACCGTGCAATTTTTCTTCGAAGTTTTGTTAAAACAACTTCAAGCGATTACAGACATAGACCAATCGTTAACGCCATTTCATAAACATGTCGAAATTAGTGCCCTGTAAGCGGATAATTAATTTGCTAAATGAACTTTACGGTGGCATTTAAATCAGCCATCCTATTGTAAGTTTTAAATGTCATGATTTAACTATAGACTGTATTATATGGCTGTATTATATATAGGTAAAATTACTTATGGCCGCGATTATATACGCGTGGTATAATTTCTTTGAGCAGAATTCTTTTTCTTTTAAAATACTTCTGTTATCAAATATTTATTTATACTTATCAATTGCCTAAAAACAAATTTTGATATTGACCAATTTCCATGCAATTTTTCATGCCCTATTTCCACCTCCTGTGCTCGATAAAAGGTAGCCTATGTCCTTTCTCAATATTAAGTCTATTTCTGTATCAAATTTCATTAAGTTGAGTTCAGTTGTTAAGGAAATGTACCAACACTTATCTGTCTTACCTTAAGTTATCGATACTTTTAATTCGATATTGGTTTGGGATGGATACTATAAATATGATTCTAGAATCTAGCAAAGCATCGATACTAGAACTTTACCAATTTGCCAAGGCATATGCAGTGATATTTATAGTGGGAATAGAGAAATGTATAATTCTGGACCGTAAAACTCCGGACAGGGCACAGGCTAGCATTACCTACATATGGCCTGACATATCGGACCGGAAAACATCAGACTGCCGGACCTGAAAATTCAGTGTAGTGCACCAACGCCCTTAGTACCGTCGATCACTCCATGAAAGACACACGCTAAGGAAAAAACATGGACATTCAGTGGGAAATAGTTTGAAGAAATGCCTGGGTGTTCTTTTATATAATGTAGAAATAGTTTAAAAACAAAACACATTTTTATTTCAAAATCAACCTGCCTATTTATTTCTTCTTCGCGATTCACTTTAATCCAATGAAATAAATAAATATCAAATAAAATAAAAGCTTAACCAAGACTCACATTGTTTGTTTATATACTTTATCATAGTATAACGAGATAAGTAGGTTCACTCGAGGCCCAAGCGAGACTTATTATCAGTAGGGCTGTAGGGCTGTTGCTTATAGATTATTCAATCGTCAGAAATGAATGATTCTCCCTTTATGGTAAGCAACCAAGAACGTACGTTATAATAATAATTATTCGTTTTTAATTATATATTTAGGAATAATTTAAAACCACTGCGAAGATTTTGTGAAAATAAACTTTAAGTAATTTAAACAAACACGTATTATTTATTTTGATATTTTCTAATACTAAAAAATAAAGTTATCGCTTACCAAATATCGAGACTTTAAAACTAAATTTATGGACACCGCGCGCCATGCGTCAGCTGAGCGCGCGCTCGATGCCGTAGTTATGTAGGTATCTATCTACACGGGTCAATGACCGCTCATTTTGTTAGATTCGAATTAGATTTTATGCCATGATCTGAGGTGATTTGTAAGAGTAATTCCAATTTTCCCTTCATACTTTTATGGTTAAGGCCATCAAAATGCAAATAAAATAATAAAAGAGAAACAAATTCGTGTACGGTGGTATACGCAAGAGGAGACGTTTTCATTGAGTTTTTTTTTAAATATCTGTCCGTATTCTAGCGGTTCAATAGGGATAAAAATTTTTTTTTTTAAATTTTAAACCAATTATGGAAAAGTGTTCTATTACTGATACTGAATCACCAAAAAAATTTTCGCACTGGAAAAATTTTTTCCTGTATAGACCAAAAGCTGACTACATTTTTTTTCATACCTACGTAACATTACTTAGTGTTTTGGAAAATGAAAACGTGGTTATGAGGAATTAGGTATTTAGTTCTCTTTTTTTTCAAATAATAATATCCAAAAAAGTTGATTTAAGTCTATTTTCAACTGGGTGTCCCCGTGCATCAACTTTACGAAGAGGGACAGCGCTGAGTTTTAGTGGGTAAATCCATGCTTCTTGCCATGCTTGCATACCAAATCCACTCGGTACCTAGCACCCTGAGATGGGATTTTTTTAAGCATTTTGTATTAAGAAAAAACTCGACATAGATAGGTATAGTGTATCGCGGACTTTTTGTAGATATTTATAAGATCTACAATTATTGAGAACATTTTATGGTTCTATTTATTATAATTTAGGCAGCATACACAAAATAAGTAACTTTTCTGGTTGATTTTTTACACCTTGTGTCCGAAAAACCCAAATATCTTACGGAACCCTATTTTTTCGAAAATAAAATATAGCCTATGTTACTCGTGGATAATGTAGGTTTCGAACGGTGAAAGATTTTTTAAAATCGGTCCAGTAGTTTTTGAACCTATTCATTACCATAAAAAAAAAAAAACAAACAAGCAACCATACAAACAAAGTTTTCCTCTTTTTAATATTTTGTATAGAAATACAAAAACTATATTTTAGAGATTGATGTGACCATGCATTTCTGACGATTGAATAACCTATAAGCGACAGCCCTACATATTTAGGCTACTATCTCTCGCTCGGGTCTCGAATACACCTACTTATATATTTGTACTGTGCTTTATACTGTGACACTATCTTCATGCTTGGTCACTAACGTGAATTCGTGATTCATCGTAGAACAAGTTCCATCAAATGTATTCTGCTATTTCATTCAGTACAGTACAACAACACGAAACATGATGTTGTGTGTGCGTGTAGAGTTGTGATGGTGAATTTAATAGCTAATTAAACTCAATATTTACGAGATACATGTGATTGTTTTATGTAATACAGGTAGCTAATAGGTTAATGTGTATTTACTGTTACTAATTTACCTAGTAAATACGTCTAATATTAAAGTTATGAAATTGGAAATCCCACAATGGAATAAAAACAGATCACCTTCCTCCTAAATAAACATAAGACATTAGTTAAATCAAATGTACCTACTTACATGAGAATGATAAAATTGAATAAATTGTTTCGAAGTAAAATTAAATAAATTCCATGTAAATTGTATCTCGCTAGGCAGGCATTTAATGGACATAAATGTAAATTTTACATTGTCAAGCTGGTGAATACTTCATTCATTTTCAGTCGCAAACTGTGAATACTTCACGCTGCCGTATTTGAAGGCGCCAATCTTTAAATAAATTAATAGGGCCGACCAGCTCAAACAGCAACCGTAACTTAAATATCACTTGGATGACTGATGAACGGTTTTTTACTACATAAATATTATATTAATTTTATTACGTTATGAAATATCCAGTACATTGTATGTAGGTAAAAATAATAGTCTGATCAGCATTTCAAGTTCAACGCTCTGTAACCTAAATTCACGTATTAATTATTGTCATTTATAAATTTATTACATTAAATCAGTGTACAAACAGCACTCATTGGGTTTGGTGATTTATTACGTTTCCCTCTCCCTACATATCCGTATAAACTGTAGGTATCCCCTACAGTTTTTTGGTCCTTCGAATAATAAGGACTTCGCGTTCGCGTCGCGTGCGTGTAGTTTTTTATAACCAGTGACTTAAAAATCGTGACTACGTCACTCTATCACAGACAGTGATCTCACATACAGTGTTCTACCAAATAGTGACTATCATAAACTGTGAACTGTTCTATACGTAATTTGGTTGCGTTCGTGGTATCCCACTATTCGAACAGAAGTTCTGCCGACAAGCGGACACACCGTAGCCGACATCTTCAACAGCAGATTTGTATCCTGTTATCAAGTAAGGTTTTGCTTATTAATTATTAACAGCATCAGGATGGAGAAACTTTTCAAGCATCAAGAAGATATTCTTGAATCGATCAAACAGATCGACCGCAACTTTGGTAAGGACTCCGCGACTCGTAAGACGCGTGAGTATTTACGGGACAGGCTGGACAGGCTAGACAAACAATGGGCAGAGTTCCAATCGATTAACGACAAATTATCAGTGTATGGAGAAACTAATCATCCGTATTTTATCGAAAATCAATATGAAAAGACTAGAAAATACTTCGAGTCGGTAAGACATAAAATATTTTCATATTCGGCGACAGCAGCCTTAGAGAGTACAGATGATGACAACCCACCAGGTCGGTCGAGAATATCTCGCACGCGACCCGGCACGCCGGAGCCACCGGCCGCTCCCACCGCCTCCCCGAGACAGGGCGGGCAAGTAGTAGCCGAGCTACTGATGTTGCAACGCACCAACTTTAGAGCATTTAAGCGTCTGACACGAAATATCAAGGTAAATGAAATTAATGTTAAATGGGAATTAGAAGATGAGCTAAGGAGTATTCAATCACGATGGAATACTATAGATTCGTTACATTTGCAAATTGACAATGTACTTCAAGGATCCGATTCTACTTACGAAGAAGAGTTCTACTACTACGAGGAGTCGTTCAAAGACATTAAGAGGGCTCTAAATCAGAAGTTAGCAGCTACAGCGCATATTCAACAAGCTACTCCACAGCTTGAGGTACCTGTATTCACAGGAAGGTACGTACAATGGCCTACGTTTTGCGATTTATTTTCCGAAACCATTCATAATAACGGCTTACTTACAAAGAGCCAAAAGATGCAGCATCTGAAAGGGAAGGTGAGAGGTGAAGCAGAACGCCTCATCCAACACCTACATATATCGCCAGAAAACTACGATACAGCATGGGAGCTACTGAACCACAGGTACAATAACCCTCAAGTCCTTTTTACGAAACATATTGAAGCTTTTCTCAATCAACCGATTGTTCATAAACAAACTGCCAATGAAATAAAACGTCTCTATGATACTTCCATGGAAAATATACACGCGATTCAGAATCTGGGTATCGATACATCAACATGGGACCCGATACTGGTTCATCTTATAACAAAGAAACTGGACCCGGAGACTTATGCCGACTATAAAGAAGCTCGCAAATCACCTCGGGCTTTACCTTTGTTAACTGAGCTTATGAGTTTTTTAGAAAGTAAATTTACTGCTCTCGAGCCTATTAACACAAAGGAAAGAGAAGTGTCATCTATACCAAACAGGTTTAACTATCCAGTGAAATTTCCTTTTAAGCCCGCTTATAAAAAATATAATCATTTTAATCATTCCAACAGTGGAAAAGTGCCGAATCGGGAATATCAAGCCACAGCTACTTCGAGCAATTGGTCTTGTCCTTATTGTCATCAAAGTCACGTTTTATATAAATGTACTAAATTCCTAAGACTAAAGACCGATGTAAAATTAAAAACTATTTCGAAATTACAAGTATGCAAAAACTGTCTATACAAGCATTATGATAATAAATGTAATGCGACTAAAACGTGCAAAATTTGTCAACTCGACCACAACACAATATTACATGACGCATATGCGACTGTCGAGTCAATGCCCTCCACCTCAACGAGGTCAACCCGTGACACCACATCCACATCAGTTCAGCTACAGGACAATACACCGGCAATCAAGGAGCATAGTGTCAACTACGTCGCGACAGATAATGAAGAAGTACTGCTTACCACATTGTCGATTAAAGCGAAAGCGGTAGATGGTACCCTAGTCACGTTGAGAGCTTTATTGGACCAGGGTTCACAAATATCGCTGATCTCCGAAAACGCAGTAAAGCTATTAGGGTTGTCTAGACAAAGTTATCATGCCTCGGTTTCGGGTATAGGACACGGCATAAATTCAAGTAAAGGCATCGTTACACTCGAACTTTATTCTATTTATGACAATTACAACTTCACTACACAGGCGTTAGTGATACCACGGGTCGTAAATAATTTACCAAACATATCCTTCAAAAAACGCCCCTGGGCTCATTTACAACATTTACAGCTGGCCGACCCAGAGTATAACGTATCGCGATCTATTGATCTTTTATTAGATGCAAACGTTTATAGAGACATTATAATGAGTGGTCTAATCAAGGGTCCACACTCGGCACCAATGGCTCAACAAACTAAGTTAGGCTGGATTCTGTCGGGAAATGTGAAAACATTCAATTGTCAAGTCGTCATAAATAATTTATCAGAATTATCTCATTACTGGGAAATGGAAGAAATTGCTGACATCAGCTCGTCACTTACACCCGAAGAAATATTTTGTGAAGAGTTATACAAGTCGACCACGCGGCGGCTAGAAGATGGAAGGTACGAGGTTGCGATCCCCATGAAACCGAATTTTGAAAAGGAGTTGGGATTATCAAAATCCAAAGCTGTTGCTCAATTTCATAACATTGAAAACAAAATGTTAAAAAATAAAGATTTTGGTGAACGCTATAAACAATTTATATCAGAGTATAAAAATCTAGGTCATATGAAACCGGTAAAATGCTATAACAAAATATCATGTTATCTCCCTCATCATAGTGTATTGAAAAATGATTCAACAACAACAAAGCTACGGACCGTATTCAATGCCTCAGCAAAAACGTCAACCGGTAAGAGCTTAAACGACTTAATGGAACGTGGTCCTAATTTGCAAAAGGACCTCCAGAACTTGATTTTGGTTTGGCGTCAATATAAATATGTCATCACTGCCGATGTAGAAAAAATGTTTAGGATGATTCTTGTCAGAGAAGATGATCAGCATCTACAACGCATCATATGGAGATCCTCACCACAGGAACCATTACAGGAGTTACAATTAACTACCGTCACTTATGGTACTAAGTCTGCTCCCTATTTAGCAATGAGAACACTTCGTCAGATTGCAAGGGATAACGAGAAGATAGGAGCGTATCCACTGGCAGTGAAAGCCCTTCAGTCATCCTTTTACATGGATGATCTGTTAGGTGGTGGAGAAGACCTTAACGAGGTCAAAGCTTTGCAACAACAAATAATAGCCATCCTAAAAGGAGCTGGAATGAATATTCGAAAATGGTCGAGTAATACACCAGAACTTCTCGAAGATCTCCCAACAGATAGCATCGATACTCCACTTCAATTTAAGAGTCTGGAATCTAAGAAGACACTGGGGATAAGCTGGAGACCAGACACTGATTCTTTTACATTCCAAAACAAGTTTGAAGAACAGGACAACGATACTCAACTTACAAAGAGGCAATTACTTTCATACATATCAAGTGTGTTTGATCCACTAGGATGGATATCACCACTTACTATTCGCGCTAAGCTGTTATTCCAAAAAACATGGTCGGACAAAGCCAACACATGGGACGAAGTTCTATCAGATGAAATGAGAAAATCCTGGATACAATTAAGAACAGATTTTCAACAATTAAATAAATTTATTATTCCTCGTTACATTGGAAATATAATAGATTGCCAATTACATGGCTTTAGCGATGCTTCAGAAAAAGCATATGCCTGCGCGATCTACATCGTAACAATAAACGATAAAGGTGAGTCCACACGGACTCTCATAGCGGCGAAAACAAAATTAGCGCCAGTGAAAAACAAACTTACGCTACCTAAACTAGAATTATGCGGAGCATTATTATTATCGCGGCTCATGAAAAAAGTTCTAGAAACCTTCACACACACAAACTTCAATATATTTGCATGGACAGATTCAATGGTCGTCCTCGGATGGTTACATGGAAATATTAGCAAATGGAAACAATTTGTATCGCACAGAATATTATCCATTATAGAGACAATACCATCATCCAAATGGCAACACGTACGATCAGAAGATAATGCTGCTGACTGTGCAACGAGAGGACTCACCGCGAAACAACTTTTAGATCATCATCTGTGGTGGGAAGGCCCAGAGTGGTTAAGTAACTTTAATATAAACAAATTAAAAAACACAACATATGAATCTCCGTGTTTAGAAATAAAGAAAAATAATGTGCACGCCGCTTTATACGACACAAATGATAATTTAATTATTAAATTATTAAAAGACTGCAACTCGATACGGCGCGTGACAACAATGATAGGTTGGTACTCGCGTTACATTAATTGGTTGAAAAATAAACATAATTTTACTAAACAGAAATATTTGTCTTGCAGTGAAATGAGTCATTCGCTCAATTTAATTATAAAAACAATTCAACATATTGAATTTCACGACACAATATCACAATTAAAATTGTACCAGTCTTTAAAGAAAAATACTCACCTTTCGTGTCTTAATCCTTACTTAGATGAGCAAGACGGACTGCTAAAAGTCGGTGGAAGACTAAATAATAGCCAGCTCAGCTCGTCAGCTAAACATCCTATCATTCTTCCAAGTCATAGTCGTCTCACCGAACTGATAATACACCAGTCACACATAATGACATTGCACGGAGGTCCAAGTCTTACATTGTCTCATTTAAGGGAGAAATACTGGATTATTAGTGGACAAAGAACAGTCAAACGTGAGTTACGCAAATGCGTGAGGTGTAGGCGACATAATGACCAAAGCAAGGCACAGATTATGGCAGATTTACCGGAATGCAGGGTCACGCCGTCTCGGCCATTTACACATACTGGCGTAGACTTTACCGGCCACTTTGATATAAAATTAAACAAAGGCCGTGGTGTAAAGACGAACAAGGGGTATGTGGCCGTCTTTGTGTGCCTGTCAACAAAGGCTGTCCACTTAGAACTTGTTTCGGACCTCAGCACACCCGCATTTTTAGCAGCGTTTCGACGATTTTGTGCTCGTCGTGGGACCCCTAGTCACGTATACAGTGATAACGGGACTAACTTTGTCGGAGCAAATCGCATACTAAAGAAAGAATATAAGGAGATCTTACAGACTCTCAACAGTGATTTCTTCAACAACATAAACGAGTACAACATACGGTGGTCATTCAATGCTCCTGCATATCCATCAGCTGGAGGACTATGGGAAGCAGCGGTCAAACGGTTAAAGTATCACCTCAGAAGAGTCGTGGGGGAGCAAAAGCTTACGTACGAAGAGTTCATCACATTATTGCATCAAGTAGAAGCTTGTCTCAACTCCAGACCCTTAATCGCATTAACCGAGAGTCCAGACGATCTATTTCTTACACCAGGGCACTTCTTGATAGGAGATTCACTCTTATCCAGACCACAAACTGATCCAGATCACATCAACCTTTCTACAAGATGGCATATGATTCAATCTATGAACAAAGAGATTTGGAAACGGTGGTCCTCAGATTATTTGCAGTTGTTACAAAGTCGATCAAAATGGCGAACACCCACGAAAAACATCGAAATTGACGATATTGTATGTATCAAAGAAGATAACTTGCCCCCTGGGAAGTGGGCGCTAGGCAGAGTGGTGAATGTGCACCCGGGCAAAGATGGCTATGTCAGGGTAGTCTCCGTAAAAACTAAAAACGGAATAATAAAACGGCCAGTTATAAAATTGTCTTTAATTCCGGTCAAAGAAAATGACAAGGTGTCGAGCAGTGGACAACAACCACAGACGAGCGATTCAATAACAACACCCTTACAGGGTCATACAAACAAACGGAGATCAAAATGTACAACAAGAAAAGGATTCCTTAATTTTATAACCATTACATTTCTTTTAATTTTATCTTTACTTTCTACGGGACAATGTACTTATAACATAACATCGTTGAATTCGGACCAATATCTTTATTTTAATAAAATAAGTGATATGAATTTGATTCGAGACGAATGGACACTAATAGTTTACTATAATATGACGACATACTGGACTGGATTATCAAACATGAATGTTTACATCAGGCATATAGAAAACAGTCTAGGCACTATGTCAGTACACATTCCAGCTCAAGATAAAAGTATCCTATATCAATTAAAACACGAGTTAACGGAAATTGAACATTATAATAGTTTACTTAGGAATCAAATGACTAAGCGACAAAAGCGTGGCTTAATAAACGGTGTTGGATATGTAGCTAATAAGTTATTTGGACTATTAGATGATTCGTTCGCAGAGCAGTACGAAAAAGATATAGAGAAAATATCACAGAATGAGAACCATTTACAACATTTACTTAAAAATCAAACATCTGTTTTAGAAGCTCAGTACAATGTTGTGCAAAGAAATGAAGATATTATGAACAAACAATTTCTAATAATAAATAGACAGATGAAGGAGATGGCCCACAATATAAATTACGTTAAAAGACAAATAGACGCCGAACTGTATTTTATTTCTTCATCAATGGCAGCTAATTCAGTTCTCACCAGCTTGAGACGTATTCAAGATACATTGATCAACATTATCACTGACTTGACACATGGCCACATGGATATGCATTTATTACCGCCAGAGCAATTGGCAGATCAGATTAATATTATATCAGGCCAGTTGAAGGGTGATCTTACTGTACCTACTGATAAACAAAACTTACAAGAAATTTACAAAATAATGAAAGTTAATACCAAAGTCGGCGAGAAATATCTAATAATTGAAGTAAAAATACCATTGATAAGCAAGGAACCTTTAGAATTAGACAGTGTTATTTCTTTACAGAACCAAAATCACATTGTTCAATTTGCAACTCCTTACATCGCATTTAATCTCCAAAAGGACATACTTCTCTTAATGACAGAATTAGACGTCCAAGAATGCTTACATCTATCAACAAATCGTGTCTTATGTTCTACAAATAAACCTATTTATGAAATTGCAATTACGAATACATTATGTAACATTAATATTACTGATAAAATTAATTTATGTAATTTTAAGGTGTCAGATTGCCAAGAACGGTGGGTCAGATTGCATACTAGCAATAGGTGGTTGTTTTCATGCTGTGAGATATGCTCAATTCGCATTTTTTGCCCAGAAAGCATGCATTTAGAAACCTTGACAGGTAATGGCCTACTGGATATAGGTCATGACTGCGTTATAAAAAGTAAAAGTTATACTATTTACAGTCACAATAATTACTTCACTCATTCCAAATATCAGCCTGATATACCAAATGTTCCAGTTACATCCATGCTTAATGCTATAGTGAACTTTACATCATACACATTTATTCCTGAAAACCATGAAAATGAGTGGAACACTGTAAAGATTCAAATTGATGATTTAAAAAGACAAAGCGATTCACAATTAACCGTCCACGACGTTCATCAGTACTCAGTATTATATTGCTGTGTAGCAGTCATTCTATTGGCGGGAGGAATCTTCCTTGTAGTAAGATGTCGTAAAGTTAGAAGGATGACTATAGCCAGGACAGTGGCTTCCCAAGCGACGCCGAGTGACAGACAGCAGGTTCCAGATCAGAATAACGGTACATCTAGTGATAATTGTGAAGTGAATATGACGAGTAATTCAGTGCGAAATTTAGAAAAGTGTACTTGGATAACACCAAAGGCTAACCCGCGGTCGCGTTCGTTTCAACTAGACATTCCGTCTGTCAGTGATTGTGAGTGATAGTGATAATAACAACAAACTATTTAATACGGACAACATTAAGACATTTTATATAATTTCTAAGAATAATATTTAGTAGTAATAACTTTGAAATAATTTCAAACATAATTCTACATAAATACTTTACTTATTAATCATTTTAATTCTCTTTTGGGCTACTTGTAAAACATATAATTTAGTTTCTTTCTTATTTTTTGTGTGGGCAGGATGTACGAGTCAATGTACATTGTATGTAGGTAAAAATAATAGTCTGATCAGCATTTCAAGTTCAACGCTCTGTAACCTAAATTCACGTATTAATTATTGTCATTTATAAATTTATTACATTAAATCAGTGTACAAACAGCACTCATTGGGTTTGGTGATTTATTACGTTTCCCTCTCCCTACATATCCGTATAAACTGTAGGTATCCCCTTGTCCGGATTCGTAAGCCTTTACGACTTCAAAATCAAACGACACATAATGTGTTTAAGTTTTTAGTGGGAATTGGTGAAATGTTATTTAATTATTTTTTAAATTTAAATTTATATTCGAAATACAGTTATTTGGCTAATAGACAAAAGAATAAATTGTTGGCTTCCAACCCGAATTTACAACTTGATCAATGGAATTTAGCCATTTGGAGGCCCCTCAGGACCAGAGGCCCGGACCTGTTCCTACCCCCTTTAGTCTGCCACTGCGTTTTAATAGAAGGACAGTAAAATTATTGTGTAATATCTACCTAACTTTACGATTTTTTTTTAGGACGATTCGTCGCAGTCATGGCAGTAGACAAACATCTAGACAGTATTGTTTGGTAAGTAAGTAGGCCATAAACATTGCATTTCTCACCTGTACTGAGAGCCGCACCCAGTGGAGTAACTACAGAGAAACCGAACTCCCAACATTTTTTAATACACATTTAGTAATGTGCTTCTTTATATCCGATGAATTTGCCGCGAGCCTCGAACGTATAGTTACGCCTCTGGTCGCTCCCTGGTTTACATAAAACAATAAATGAAATACCTGCATTTTGATCGCGTTATCTACAGAATAAGTGGCTCGGTGAAAATACAACAATAATACTAACATTATAACTTTATGCCATCCCAGAGTACTAGAGACAAAGTGGATTTTTAAGCATTTAGTAACCTCCTATATGTTCGGCGGCGATGTTTAATTTTTTATTTTCACCATAGAATAGACGTTCACCGATATTTTCGTCAATTGTTGGTCGATTTTCAAAATTCATTTTTTATTCGATAGCTGCATGAACCACATGGGCTATGGGTCCCATTACAATTTTATTGAAATCGAATAAGTAGTTTTCTTTTATAACAAAATAAAATACGCTTTTAGTGTAAAGTGATTGAGATATCACCTAAATATCCTTTCATAACAAATTGGTGTTTGTTATGGGAGGAACAAAAAGTCGAATATTTTTTATATAATACCTAAATTTATTTAATCAATGTATAAACCATTGTTATCTATACACTTTTGCCATCTCATAGGTAGTTCATTGATCCCCTTACTAAAAAACCTATTCGGACGGGAATCAATAAAATCTTTGAATGCGATTTGTACTGCCCCATCGGAGTTGAATTTTTTCCTTGCAAGAAGTTATCCAAATTTCGAAAAAAATGGTAATCTGTTGGAGCAAGGTCCGGGGAGTACGGTGTATGTCTTGGACATTCCAATTGAAGCTCTTCTAATTTGGTAGCCGTCTGTTGTGCAGTGTGTGGTCTAGCGTTGTCGTGAACTAGCAGTGGCGTAGAGCGATTGACCAGACTCGGTTGTTTAACAGCTTGTTTTCCAGCATGGTTTGCTAACAATAGACGTCTACCGTAATCGTCTGGCCAGATTTGAGAAAACTGTAATAAACGACACCGGCACTAGTCCACCAAAAGCTCATAAGTAACTTTGTGGGGTCAATTTTCGCTTGGTGCAGGATTTGACTGGCATGCCAGGGTCCAACCATTGAGATGAGCGCTACCGACTATCGTAGAGAATCCACTTTTCATTACAGGTAATGATTCGATTTGAAAACCCTTCATTATTGTGCCGGTTAGGTAATTTAAGGCAGCAGTCGATGCGCGCTTACCGGTTTGCTTCATTTCAAGCTTTTTAATCTTTCCAATTTGCTTCAAGTGGATTAAAACACTATCAATAACACCGCAGCCTGTAGCTAACTCGGACGTGGTTTGCGATGGATCCACTTCCACAATAGCCTTCAATTCTTCATTATTAACTTGGGTCTGCGGCCGTCCACGGGGCTTGTTCTGCAGGTCGAAATTTCCAGAACGAAAACGTTGGAGCCAAAAACGCACTATGTTTTCTTTTGCCACACAACCGCCATACACATCATTAACCCTTCGAGCCGTTTCCGCAGCACTGGTACCACGGTGGAACTCGTACTCGTAAATAACACGATATTTCAAGTTTTTCATTTTTTATACTGGGTGACGTAAATAGGATAAACAGAAGAAGAAAAAGCAAGTGAATGCCGCCTAACGAAACACATATGTAAATGGCTGTATAAATTTGAATTTGGAATTCGCAACCAAGGAGGAGAAATTTGTGATTAAAGTGGCCAGTACGACAAAACGCCAATTTCATATGTAAGGATCTAATATTATACCTGTGTGGGCCATTTCAGCTAAAAAACAAACTCTGAAAGGACGTATGTTCATCGATTTCTTCAAGAATTGTGAACAAATTTCTATCAAACTAGCTGTTTCGGGGCATATCCAATGCAAACAAACAAGCAATCAAATCTTACCTCTTTATAATATAAATATAGATTTATTGGATAAAATTATGTCAAGTTTGTTTCTAACTTTCACTGTTGAATATTTTTATTTCGATATACATTTAATATTTTCAGTGTTACCTATTATATAAAAAATATCAATATCACTGAAAAGCATGAAATAAAAACTTAAATAGAAACATAACCGTCTTTTAACCTTAAAAATAAATGACAGCATATTCTTCATAAGGTGCTTTTGAGGTAAGTATTATTTTTCACTTGTTTGTAGTTTGAAGTCGGTTCTGTTTTTTTTTTTTGTATTATTTAATTATTAATATTTTCCAGTATAGCATTGTGAATGCAAAATTGATCAAATATAATAAGTAATTGTAACTTTTATACAAGTAGCCCAGTTATTAATACTCTTTTTTCGTCGGAGGAATGCTTGAAGCACCTTCCTTTATACCGCCTGGCGAGCGACAGGGCGTGTGTCTCCTCCGTAACCGGAGACCTACCCACAAAAAAAAATCAATGCTTGATTATGCCTATTGTCTGTATAGGTGCAATGATCCATGGGACGAGCCGCCGATCAGTGAGGAGGCGCGGCGTCTGCTCCGGGAGTGTTGTGACGCGCACCCGCCCGACTCGCCGGACCCGCCATTAGACGCTGCCACCTACCTGCAGGAACTCATCGACAACAGCAAGCGGTTTCCCATTCCTTTCCCTGTTCATACAGTCAGGTTCGAAATACTTAATACTCCTAGATAAGATAAACTTGAGATTTAAAGTACGATCAACAGCACGTCAGATTATACAGTCTCCACTTGATTTTAACACTTAATGCTTTGTTGGTAGAGTTTAAAATCAATCGAAGAGACATTGTGGTAACCTGACGTGCTGCTTTGTGAAATTGAATTGCTTTATATTTTAGCTGTAGGTACACTATTCTCAGATCAAAAAAAAAGTTATAGATTTATTGAAAATCTCCAACTTTATTGAATGTTTAATAATGCACAATAGTTTCGCGAAACGTGCTTTCAGGTTTGCTGTCAGTACGCTATATGTTTTTAGATTTGTTAGTTTTAATGTTACTAGCTTGTGTTATAGATAATTGTCCTGTGTCATACATATAAACCTTCCTTATGAATCACCCTATCTTTGATTACGTTTTAGGGTTCTAGTTCGTGAAATTAAACCTTTGGCCAAGATCTTGACGGTAGTTTTGTCTAAACTTACACGAGACAGATTTACAACTGTGTTTTGAAGTTTAAAAGTTTATATGGGCATGTAATGGATTCAACGAACTATCGAAGCGAATAAATGTTGGCCTTTTTAACACTAGCGAAGCGTCGATTAAGCGTGTTGTTGCAACTTATTCTTTTTAAATAAGTAGTATTTTTGATTATAGCAATCCGTATTATATTTAATATAGCAATCCGTAAGCAGCATATATTACCAATATTATTGTAATTATAAGCAGTATTTTTTACTTTTATACCAAATCTATATGCGAAGACCTCAAATTGGCAGTCTGTTTTTGGAAAAAAAAGGGACAACTTGTATTGATAGCTGTACGTTAGTCATCCAAGATAGTAAATAAATAAATAAAAAACATAACTAACAATAACAACAAAATACACACTAAAACTTCACTATCTCACTTCATTACGGTCTATTCACAACACTAGTAGATCGTTTACCGCACTAGTCAACGCTTCGAGTTTCGCTTCCGATCGCTCTTGCTTCAGATCGCTTGTTCACTGAAGGATGCCGGGATGGATAGTCCTACGCATATTTATAGAAGCCGATACCAAATCTAGAATGTTCTAAATTAGGAACTAGAACGTCCGAGGTTGGCCTCGCCCCTACCGGTGAATTCGAGGTATTACCAAAAAGTTCTGACAGACAGAAACACACTTCAAACTTTATAACACCCCTCTTTTTCGTCGGTTAAAAATAATAATATAATTTTATAGTAATATAGCAAGCACCTTGATACTTTTTGTGTGATTGTAATTATATTTCAGGTTAGAGAAGCTTAAATTGAAAACTCCAGCGGAGAGGCTCGTAAGAAATGCACAATCGACGTATCCTCTCATGAACCAGCGGGTGTTGGTGCTCATGGCTAACTTCCTCATCTACAAACGGTAATTAATTTATACCTTAAACAATAATTAATATAACCCATTTAGAAAATTGTAAACATTTTTGTTCGGAGACTACTTTGGGGGCGGTAGGTACTGACAATGGTCAAGGCAACAAAATAACGACGATTGTCTAAATTATTTTCAGGATATACGGTTCGAATATAGAAAAGGAAATGTACAAAGAAATGAGCATTCCGCAGTTGATCGAGAGAATTCTGCAGAAGAGAGCCATCACATTTATGAAAGCCCAGGATCAATACAAATTGATCACAGGAGAGAAAGGGTAATACGAGTAGCATAATGTTTCGGCGCTACGAATACTCCTATTGTAGAATCTTCGAACGAATTGGTAGGGTCGACGGTTGGGAGAGCGTAGGCACCGAGTCGGAGCAGCCCCCTTTGGTGTTGTCGCAGTGCCTCAGCTACGACGAGATGAAGCTGAGTGCGCTCGTGTACGTGAGCGGCTACACCGAGTGCATCAACGACGGCGCGCGCCGCAACGCCGCCGCCCCCGCCCCCGCCGCCGCCGCCGCCGAGCGGGAGGCTGTCATCATAGGTACGAGAAATTCTCGGAACTCATCAAATATACTGACCGCACCGAATCAAATCTGGTGCTGTTTTCTAGTATTTCTACCTGTAACACTAGCTTCCTATTTATTTGCGTACGTATATGAACCTGAACATATTATGAAAGTCTACATGGAAAACAAAAACGTATGTCGACATTTATCAATCGATCTTTCAAAATTTGCTCTCATAACCGCTGTATTAACTTAAAATCACATGAATAAAATATAAGTACTCATATTGAACATTACAGGTGTGATAGGTCCTAGATTTAAGCGCGTGAACCGCATGGGCTACGAAGACATAGTGGTGACGAAAGACCAGAACAGATCAGAGAACGGCTACGGAGAAAGTAACGACGCGTGCCCGCCCGCCCGGCGCGCCTGGATAAAACTCTGGGCAGACTTCTATCAAGTGAACCTGCGTTATGCTATTTAATGATCTATAGACGATTGCCTTTTTCTATACCATGTTGCATCACAAGTATGCTATTATCAAAAAATAATGCTTTATATGTATGTATTTACCACTGGTTTTAAGCCTAATTTTTGACCGTATTAAAAGTGATAATAATAAATAATTCAAAGAAAAACAAAAAACCGACTGCCTAAAAACGAATTTAAAAAAATACATGAAAAAATTAACTTAAATAAAAACTAAAAATAAAGAAACACACACAGCCCAGTAGTTTAGAATTCTGTTAAGTGATACAGAACAGAACGACTCACAGTCGGGGCCCATTCAAATTTTATCAATCAAATCTGCTGAAACAATCAAAAAAGGGAAAATATATTCTAAACTCTATGAGCTGAGAACTTCTCAATAGAAGTTCTGTTTGTTTTATAATTACTTTAGAAGGATCGGAGTGGAAACTGTCTTCTTTCTGTTGCCGTTGTTCGTCTTTTAGGTTTGGTTGTGTTTGATTTCTCCTTGTATTCGATTCAAGCTTTTCCTACTCATTAAGCTGTTGATATTACGATCGTGTATGAGAACTTGTATGAGATGTATGAGATCAGATTTCATTAATCTCTATTATGATTGATCTATAACATGATGCACTAACGTATTTACACAATTTCCATCAGCTCCCCAGTATGACCCACGACGAGCTGTACGATCGAGAGCAGCCTGTGCCGTGTACGAGCAGTAGAATGTTCAGTACGCGGTGGGCGAGCGTGAAGGGTCTCGCGTTCGACAACACCGCGTACTACCGGCGCCTGCAGCTGATACTCGACACTTGTCTAGTGGAGGCCAACCATCGCGCGCGGGAGGCTGACAAGTTCGCCTTCCTAAATATCATCGGCGCCGGTGAGTGACTCTATTGGTTATCTACGAATTTCGAAAATTGTTTAGATCAGATTTATTATATAAATGTAATTCAAGCATAGATGCTAATGTAAATATAAATAAAATGAATAAAATTAAAATGAAAAACGCCCATTCGTTTACAATTTATGATGGTGTAAGTACCTACAAATAATTGATAAAATAGCTACTTATCTTGTGCGCTCGTAACTCTTAAACTGCTACTACGATTTTCAAGAAACTTAGCACAGAACAACCGCGATGAACGAGGCTTTCGATTAAAAAAACCTCACTCAAATCGGTTCATTCGTTCAGAAGCTTTGGTGCGACAGACAGCCGGACAGGTCAAACTCGTAACACCCCTATTTAATTGCATTCGGAATTAATGTCACATATCGATATCACACAGTCAGTAAACAAATTGTTCAGAATTGTATTAGGTGGATATTATTATAAGTAACATACGGACACGACAGTTCAAAGTAAGCCCGGTAAAAGTATTTTTTCACACAATATTATTAACTCGTTTCTAAAGTAAGAATTGCAAGTAAATTTTAGCCCTGTTATATGTAGTGTGTGTGTGTATGTGGTCAGGTCTGGGCGTGTGGAAGTTGTCGCCGCATCAGGTGGACGTGTTCGTGCTGGCGGCTGTTATATGTAGTGTGTGTGTGTATGTGGTCAGGTCTGGGCGTGTGGAAGTTGTCGCCGCATCAGGTGGACGTGTTCGTGCTGGCGGCTGTTATATGTAGTGTGTGTGTGTATGTGGTCAGGTCTGGGCGTGTGGAAGTTGTCGCCGCATCAGGTGGACGTGTTCGTGCTGGCGGCTGTTATATGTAGTGTGTGTGTGTATGTGGTCAGGTCTGGGCGTGTGGAAGTTGTCGCCGCATCAGGTGGACGTGTTCGTGCTGGCGGCTGTTATATGTAGTGTGTGTGTGTATGTGGTCAGGTCTGGGCGTGTGGAAGTTGTCGCCGCATCAGGTGGACGTGTTCGTGCTGGCGGCTGTTATATGTAGTGTGTGTGTGTATGTGGTCAGGTCTGGGCGTGTGGAAGTTGTCGCCGCATCAGGTGGACGTGTTCGTGCTGGCGGCTGTTATATGTAGTGTGTGTGTGTATGTGGTCAGGTCTGGGCGTGTGGAAGTTGTCGCCGCATCAGGTGGACGTGTTCGTGCTGGCGGCTGTTATATGTAGTGTGTGTGTGTATGTGGTCAGGTCTGGGCGTGTGGAAGTTGTCGCCGCATCAGGTGGACGTGTTCGTGCTGGCGGCTGTTATATGTAGTGTGTGTGTGTATGTGGTCAGGTCTGGGCGTGTGGAAGTTGTCGCCGCATCAGGTGGACGTGTTCGTGCTGGCGGCTGTTATATGTAGTGTGTGTGTGTATGTGGTCAGGTCTGGGCGTGTGGAAGTTGTCGCCGCATCAGGTGGACGTGTTCGTGCTGGCGGCTGTTATATGTAGTGTGTGTGTGTATGTGGTCAGGTCTGGGCGTGTGGAAGTTGTCGCCGCATCAGGTGGACGTGTTCGTGCTGGCGGCTGTTATATGTAGTGTGTGTGTGTATGTGGTCAGGTCTGGGCGTGTGGAAGTTGTCGCCGCATCAGGTGGACGTGTTCGTGCTGGCGGCTGTTATATGTAGTGTGTGTGTGTATGTGGTCAGGTCTGGGCGTGTGGAAGTTGTCGCCGCATCAGGTGGACGTGTTCGTGCTGGCGGCTGTTATATGTAGTGTGTGTGTGTATGTGGTCAGGTCTGGGCGTGTGGAAGTTGTCGCCGCATCAGGTGGACGTGTTCGTGCTGGCGGCTGTTATATGTAGTGTGTGTGTGTATGTGGTCAGGTCTGGGCGTGTGGAAGTTGTCGCCGCATCAGGTGGACGTGTTCGTGCTGGCGGCTGTTATATGTAGTGTGTGTGTATGTGGTCAGGTCTGGGCGTGTGGAAGTTGTCGCCGCATCAGGTGGACGTGTTCGTGCTGGCGGCTGTTATATGTAGTGTGTGTGTATGTGGTCAGGTCTGGGCGTGTGGAAGTTGTCGCCGCATCAGGTGGACGTGTTCGTGCTGGCGGCTGTTATATGTAGTGTGTGTGTATGTGGTCAGGTCTGGGCGTGTGGAAGTTGTCGCCGCATCAGGTGGACGTGTTCGTGCTGGCGGCTGTTATATGTAGTGTGTGTGTATGTGGTCAGGTCTGGGCGTGTGGAAGTTGTCGCCGCATCAGGTGGACGTGTTCGTGCTGGCGGCTGTTATATGTAGTGTGTGTGTATGTGGTCAGGTCTGGGCGTGTGGAAGTTGTCGCCGCATCAGGTGGACGTGTTCGTGCTGGCGGCTGTTATATGTAGTGTGTGTGTATGTGGTCAGGTCTGGGCGTGTGGAAGTTGTCGCCGCATCAGGTGGACGTGTTCGTGCTGGCGGCGCTGCTGCGCGCGCGCCACCTGCTGGGCGCGGGGGCACTCCCGCGCGTCGCCGACGTCAACCTCGCCTACATAAAGCCCGGCAAACACGTCGCAGGTATCGTTCATATAAAAAATAACAAAACCCACGTGAACTAATGACATGTCATATCAGACCAATTTTTGAATTTCATACAAAAGGAAATGAATTAAATTTCATACACATCTTATTTTTCTCACAGTATAGATTGTGAGTTCATGCCGCATGCCGTAATTTTTTTATGTGCCTTCGATAAAGTAAAAATTATCATCCGGTATTAACGGATCACATTACTTGTTTAGTTTGGATATGTATTGTGTGGTTTTTGGGTCACATATGTCTTTTGTTCAATTATCGGTGCCTCAGGGATCGAATCTGGGACCAATGCTTTTTCGATATTTGCGTATGTCTTCCCTAAATGTGATCGAGCACTGAAAACTGTTGTTGTTCGCGGATGATCTTAAGTTATTTAAACAGGTGTGTTAGAGTGCTGACTCTTTGCTACATCAAAATTATTTTGACAGGTTGGCAAATTGTTGCTTTATTACCAACATGACAATTAATCCAAAGAAGAATAGAACATTTTCTTATATTAATAAAACATTAAATTAATAAAGAAAAAACTTCCACAGCTCAACAACTATAATCTACAATGTGTAACAGAAATAACGCACATCTTTATACACCACAATAAGAAAATGCATTTATAATCATAAAACGAAAATTGAAATTTTACTTTTATGTACTAAAACATTGTTTGTGTATGAACACAGTTATACTTATTGCTGGGAAGTGTGAACATCTTACAAATCCACACAATGACATCGAAATTACGACTCAGCCTGCAACTACACATGTATGTACCTACAGTGCAATACCACAATGGCCTACATACCAACTAAAATTCTCGATATGAAATACTATTCTGTTTCGAGATTAAAAGTGTTTTTTAAGTTTAGACAATAATTATGATTTTTATAGCATAGTCTTGCGATCACATACTCACGGCGAGCACAGTACCACCACATCCGTATTTACTGCACGTTATATTCTTAACGAAGAACCGCACGTGAAATTAAAAATTCGTTTATTAATAGCTTATCTGCGCATTTCGCACAATTCTGCTAATGTCAAGTGAATAAATTAATTTCTACATGTAAAATGAAAATGAAATTAATGAAAGATGGCGATGATTTTTCTTCGACAAACTCTTCTTCTTCTTAACTTTAATGGTATTTTGCGTCACCACAATATTTCTTATACTTCACGTAGGATTCGACAAACTGAAATTGCCATAAAATTATCATCCACTGCCACTGTCATGTTTGTCACATATGTCATGTTTATTTTCTAAATATATATAGCTCAAAGGTGACTGACTGACTGACAAAGTGATCTATCAACGCACAGCCCAAACCACTGGACGGATCGGGCTGAAATTTGGCATGCAGGTAGATGTTATGACGTAGGCATCCGCTAAGAAAGGATTTTGATCAATCTACCCCCAAGGGGATAAAATAGAGGATGAAATTTTACTGTAGGTATTTTACACGATATAATTAATCAATATTTGTTAGAAATGCTGCCCAAAGTAACTTTACCACGCGGACGAAGTCGCGGGCAAAAGCTAGTTTGTGATATATAATTTTTCTCTTACTTTATGAATTATTTTACTCTTTGGTTTATGAATTTCTGCAAAGTTTAAAAATATTTTAAACTCGAGACACATTTAAGGAAAGCTCATTATTCTTTGTTTTTTTCCTGTTGTATTGTATTATAAGCTAAGAATAGGTATAGTGCATTTTAAAAAACCTTATTACATTCACTTAAGTTTATGTTTGTTTGTGACGGCTTTAATGTTAACAGGTGACCAAAATTTATTTCATTCCAATTAAATTTAGAAAAAAAAAACTGTATTAGAAGTTGTTGAAATCGAATCAATATCTGATTTTAAACAAACTACTTTCAGGATGTGCGTTAATCATGTTACACGTTGTATTTGTACAATAACTACTCAAAGTAACCGGAACACGGGATCTGGGAGTGGCTAAGGATTCGAAATTAAAATACATACGTCGTAACATAAATACTATAAGTACGAAATCAACACAAATGCTTGAATTTCTTAAACAATATGCCAATGATTTTAAGGTAGAATTACTAGATTATTGTATATAATTAAAGTAAGCGTTTGCATATCGGAGTATTTCCCACGTAGTAGTTCCAAGCTGCAGACTTCAAAAAACCAGACGATAATGTCTGGATAAATACATTGCTATGTTCAATAAAGTTCTACAAAATGTAATTGACCTACCCATAAATAAATTTAAAATTCATGTAAACAACATACTTTTGAGTAATGGCTATTATAAAATTGATGATTATTTTAGGGACAGCAATGCATGGAATTGATAGCCTTCGCTTTGTTCTATAAAGACTAATTACATGTACGACCCATGACCTACAGACTTTGAAAGTTGTATTTATTATTGTGATAATACATATTATTTTGGCATGACATTACTTATGATAAAGAGTTGGTAAGTTTCTTTCGCTTGTTCTTCTTGTCAGCTAAAAGACGTCCTGAACGATTGGTAGGGGAAAAAAATTTGGGGCATTCAAAAGTGCTTGAAACAAGCTTACTTGAATAAAGGCATTTTCATTTTAAACACCCTTAAAGAGGTTTCACTGTAGATTAATTGTGTTATTACAAAACTATTAAACAGAGTTACTTTATCGCTGTTATTCACTTATCGTTTACTTTTATTACAGCCTTGTTTGAATCGAGTGTACGCACCAGCAGTGGCAATGAAGATGGAGATGTACCTCTAAAATTATTCTTGAAAAACAAGGATCATCCGAAAGGTAATAAATAACACTATGGTTTTTTTTCCAAACACCATAAATTTATTAACAAAAAATAATGGCTTAGTATTTTCTCTAATTATTATGAAACCATAGACATATGGTCAAGATCATTAAATTAAAAAATAGTAATTACGAAAAAATACTATACTTATCTATCTTATTGCTACAGCAAATTGACTAGCAAAGATAATGTCTAATTATGCGGCGAAAACTCTATAATTAACTACTCGCAAACTCCATATTACCATTATTGTCTTACGTATTTATTAATTTCCCCTACAAATACATAATACGAGGGTCAAACTGAAAGTTCTTAGAAAATCAAAAACTGATTACATTAGCCAGTTATTAGTTTTATTATATCTTTTCAAAATATTGTCCATTCACGTCAATACACCGCTGCATGCGATGGAACCACTGGGAAAAGCACTTTGCCCACTCGTCCTTAGGGGTCTCTTCAATGGCATCGCGATACGCAGCCACCGCTTCTTCAGCATTCATAAACCGCTTTCCTTTAAGTTTTTCTTTAATTTTTGGAAATAAATAAAAATCACAAGGCGCGAGGTCGGGGCTATACGGCGGGTGACCCAGTAATTCAACGTTTGATGTCGCCAAATAGTCGATCGTTCGCTTGGCGGTGTGCGACGAGGCGTTGTCGTGGTGAAGGAGGATCCTACTGCGAGGTCGTTTCTCTCGAACTTTTTCCAAGACAAGTGGCAAACAATTGGTAGTGTACCATTCTGCAGAAACTGTTTTTTGATCCTCTAACACAATTGTTGCAAAATGACCTATCCTTCCAAAGAACGAGGCCACCATTTTTTTTCCCGCACTTCGATCTCTCTTCACTTTAGTTGGCAACTCCTCGAAAGGAAACACCCACTGAGCAGATTGTCTTTTGGTTTTAGGATCATAACAGTAAATCCAGCTTTCGTCACCTGTTAGTATGTCGAACACAGCATTTGAGTCACCTCTGTTAAATCTTTCAATCATTTTACGTCACCAATCCACACGATGGAGTTTTTGAGCCTCAGTCAAATTATGAGGTATCCACCGGGCCCAAAGCTTCCTGACCGCTAAATGTTCGTGGAGGATTTTGTGCACTTGACTCATACCGATGCCTAAGCTTGTCCGAATCTGTTGATAGGTCACTCTTTTGTCAGTCTCTATCATACGCCGCACAACACAGATGTTATCTTCAGTCGTCGCCGTAGAAGGCCGTCCCTCACGTAAATCATCAGTGAGATTAGTGCGACCACGTTTAAACTCATTAAACCAGTTGTAAACAGTCGCACGAGATGGGGCTTCATCGTGAAAGGCCAATCGTAGTCTATCATAACTTTCTTGTTGACTTAAATGACATCGAAAGTCATAAAAAATCATTGCACGAAAATTTTCTCGTGTTAAATTCATGATGACGTGACACAGACAATTTTCAATTTGCCGCCAAATCGTAAAACAAATGACAAATGAATGAAATATATACTCAGTAATATTGGCAAAAAGTTATATTTTCAAATTTTAGAATTATTTTTTTATTATATTGTTTATAAGTGGCCAGTTCTAAGAACTTTCAGTTTGACCCTCGTAATAATATTACAACAAGATATGAAAAGATGCCTTATTTTGGAGGAAAATTTATTATTGTGTTCTCCAGATTTTGTTATTATACATATAAATAAATTTACTTTTTTGGATAAGACAGAATCCTTACATAATTAAAATTGTCTGTCTTCGCCGTGTTTCGAAAGCCATGATAAGCTGTTTAGTTTATCTAGAATTGAAATTGATTAATTACATTTATAGACGTTTATTAATCAAAGTAAAACGTAAAATGTTTTATTATTATATAATGACAATAAATATACATTAATGATTAAAAAAAATTGAATTTTATAATTTTCGAACTATTTAAGCTTTCTAAAAATTCATATCATAATGCGCCCAGCATTACAAGATCATTTTGAAGTTAAGGCTGATAGATGTCAAAGTGGCCGTCCATTAATTACGTGAGGCTCGAAAGGGGGGAGGGACTCGTCAAAAATCACGAAATATCACAAGGGGGGTGGGGGGGGGGTGTAGTAATATATCACGTGTATTTGTTTTTTCCTCGATGCGCGATTATTAAACCGAAAAGCGACGTCAATATTTAAGTTTTTTTTTTAAATACACGTGATTTGGTTGGAGGGAGAGGGTAGTCTTAAACCTTACTATGTATCACCAAGGGGGTGGGGGGTTCAAAAAATGTTGAAAAAACATCACATGATTAATGGACGGCCCCAAATGCCAAATACCGAGTTGTTCGCACGTCGGTTTCTAGGTGTCACCATCTCTGAGGTCCCGTTTTTGGAACGTCACGTAGTAAATTACAATCTCATTATTTTTTTGTAATTTGAATGAAAATAATTTAAAAAAAATACTTTGTGCTATTAAACAATTTTTTTATTTTTAAAATATACTATCATTTTATCAAATCAATTTATAATAATTTCTTTTCTATTACGTCGACTTGGTACAACGTTACGTTTTATCTTCCTTTTGAAATGTCAAATGTGACCTGTCATAATGACTCAACTGTAGACTATAATTAACATACTGTTTAATGGAAAACAATCGACTACGATTTAATTTCAGTACTTATTCAGATGCATTTCGGGCATGCCTATTTGTCAGTTAATTAATTATGTTTGCACGCGTCAATAACTTGTCAATAATGATAATAGACAGGGCTAAATTACACGCAGTAAAAGTAGCAAATGCTACGGGCCTCGCGTGTTTGGGGGCCCCGCGCAATTTGGGGCGTCGCTGTGGTTCAGAGCCAATTAATTAATTTGTCAAGTACTAGACTAGTCATATTTTTAAGTATGAACATAAACTGACAAATAAAACTCAAGCTACTGATATGTTGTGTTGTGTGATTCAGGAAGGAAAGGATGACTTTTCTGTTTCGGGGGAGCCCCGCTCTGGCTTAATTCGATAATTCACGATTAACAATTGTTAACACTACGAGCACTTCTCTTTGAAATTTTAGTATTTAATTAAAATGTAGAAGTGGCAGATAACTAAGCGAGTCGAAGTGCGCGATGGTGGCCGCTCCATTATCTTTAAAAAAGGTAACGGAAAAAGACTACTATCAAATCGAACTATTGTAGCATCTATACATTTACGATATTATTATATATATTTATATGAAATTCCTTCGAATCGACTTATTTTTTTATACAATGACTATAAGCATACTTATTTATTCGAAGAACGTACCTAATAACATTCTTTTATGTTTGCAGGCGGAATCAACGTTCAATTACAGAATCGAGAGCCGTCTTCTCAACTGCGCGGCGAACATGAAGGAAAGCTCCTTGTATTGACCTACCCTTGGGACGGCAACGCACATCCTGGCAACGAATTTTGGTTTCTATCAAAATCTATAATTTCATAGTAGTCAACATTACGTCACTCGACATGATTCAGTTTAATATGGTACTTGACACTGTTGAAAATAAGCTGCATGTTGTGGTCATCCCGTTAGATAATTATCTAATAAAGTTTATATCTTAGAATCTGCAGACAAAATATGTTTAGCTTTAGTAAAATAAAGTAAACGAAATGCAACATTTTTAGGAATTTAACGAAACGTATACACGCCATATTAAATAGTTGATAAATACGTTGTCGCCTTGACATATTTACCGGTGTGACGTCACAAATACCACGTGGTTAGCGGCATATCATAGAGCAGTGATATTCCCGCGATTTATTTAATCAATTGTTTTCATCGAAAATAACACAGATTCCCATGAAATATATTGACAGTGTGTTTATAATGTATTAAACGATGATTTATAATAGTTTTCAGAAAAGTTTCAAATGCCCTATTCTATAAGTGATTCGGTATCCTTTCATAAACCGATTCATATATCGATACAAATTTTCACTCTGTGATTTGAGTTCTCGAGAACTTGTTCAAGGTCACGAGTCCACAATACTGTGTTGAAACCACGTTCAAGCTATTTTGATACTTTTCCCAATTTTTGTATTTATTTTAGTATTTCTATGGTGAGATTCATTATCGATTCCCGAATATTTTAAACGACTGCTCTCGAAAAGGAGTCTATTGTTTTTAGAATTAATGTATGTATGTGAGTATTTTTATTGCACCATAACTTTTGAACGATATAACGGATATGAATGTACAGGGTATCATTAGAAACATCATCCTAAGTTACCACAAAATACATAGAGTATCAGTGCAACTAGCTTAATTATTAATATTAAATAGGTATGGGGACGCGTGACGCCATTTAAAAAAGTATGTTTTTTTATAATCATAACTTTATGGGTATCAAATTAAAGGTCCATTTAAAATATATAATCTGTATACAAAATTAACTGCTCACTAAAATGAATAAAATATAAAAATTATTTAAAAATTAAAAACACGACTGCTAAGATCGGACAAAAATTAAAAGAAACAAGTTTAGCCAAATCATAGGCTATAAATATAAATAGCGATGATAATATATCAATAAAATTATAAATATTAATTAAAATATTAATTTCGTCGACGATTTCGAAATATTTTCGTCATCCATAGGGAACATGGACTGTTTCCTGTTTGGAAAAGTAGTAAATTAGAATTATATTAAACTAGTTGTGCCCGCGGCTTTATGCGAATGGAAAGTAACCTAAGGTTCTTTTCTCATGGCTAGATGCGATGTTATTCGATATGAATGAACGATATCACACGAATAGCATGCACTTATAAAATGTATGGAAAAACTCAAGTGTTTGCTCATGAGATTGTACTATCTGTCAATATCGTTCACAAATCTCATGGTCTGCGGTATCACTTCAAATGTATGAAGGTGGTAGAACGCTCGATCTGCTTTTGATTTTCTGTTCAATAATATCGAGGAACGATTTATTTGCTCATACTTACCATATCATCAAAATATATTGAATTTTACAAAAAAATACGGCAATATCCGTATATAAACAAATGAAAAGCTCGAGGTTAAGCGACGATTGCAAAGGCCGGCAATTGGATGGGTGGTCAATTTTTTGGTGGTCAAAAAAGAGATAAGGCAAAAAGAGCATATAAGAAACGTCCAACTAACCGCAATCTTATTCGTTTTAAGGTTCTTCGAAATTGCTGCAGTCGTATGTGTAGGGATGCTAAGCGACGCTTCTTCCATAGCTCTCTTACTGATCGCAATCCTACTGATGCCTGGCGGTTTTTGCGCTCTGTAGGAGTGGGGAAATCTACTGCTACTGTGTCTACCAATGTAGATTTAAGCGTCCTTAACAGACACTTCTCCCTTCCTCCTTCTACTATCGATGGTGACATAAAGGATTCTACGCTCGCAGAACTTTCACTGGTTCCGAGGCCAGACTGCACATTTTTTTTCTTTTCAAAAATATCCGAAACTGACATTAAAAATACCATTCAAGCCATTTCTTCCGAGGCTGCTGGCGAGGACAACCTAAGCGTAAGAATGTTTACCCCTATTTTATCTTTTCTCCTTCCTATACTTGTTCACATACTTAACTTCTCACTTGAATCCGGTTCTTTTCCCAAAATTTGGAAGATGGCGCACATTATTCCACTGCCTAAAGTATCTAATCCTTCAGTCCCATCTCATTTTCGTCCTATTTCTATTCTTTCCCTTCTCTCTAAACTTCTTGAGCATATTGTTCATAAGCAATTATCAACTTTTCTTCTTTCTAATTCCTATTTGAATAGGTACCAATCTGGTTTCCGCCCTGGTCACAGTACTGTAACAGCTTTAATAAACATTACTGATGATATTCGTTGGGCTATGGAGAATAAAGCTCTTACAGTTCTAATCCTTCTAGACTTCAGCAGTGCTTTTAATTCTGTCATTCGTCGATTTTGACATTCTTCTCGCTATTCTTCGTTCTTGCAATATCTCTCCTTCTGTTCTCTCACCTCTCTTATTTTCTATTTTCATTAACTCGGTTACTAAAGTTATATCTTCCAACTTCCACCTCTATGCAGACGACTTGCAGCTTTATCGACACTTTAAAATAGAAGACTGTAACTCGGCACTGGTAGCTATTAATAACGATTTGGATCGCATTAGTACTTGGGCAAAATCGTTTGGCCTCATGCTTAACCCGAGTAAATCTCAGGCCATTGTGATAGGTAGCAGGTTTAATATTAATTCTATTTCTGCATTATCTTTCCCACCCCTGCTTTTGGATGGGACTCAGATCGAGTTAACAGACACTGTAAAAAATCTTGGAATTACAATGGATTCAAATCTATCATGGACTGCCCATGTATCTGAGGTTAGTCGTAGGACCTTCTTCTCATTTCACACACTTAAATGCCTTCAAAACTTTTTACCTTTTAAAACTAAAGTGTTACTAGCACAATCCTTAATTATACCTCTTCTTGACTATGCAGATGCATGTTACTTGGATGCCACGGAGGAGTTATTAAACAAACTTGAACGACTTCAAAATCTAGCGATTAGATTTATTTATGGTCTTCGTAAGTATGATCATGTGTCACATTTACGTAAGCAGCTCATGTGGCTTCCCATTCGTCAGCGTAGATATGTCAGGATTGTCTGTCTTCTGTTCAACATCCTGTATAATCCCGTCTATCCTTCCTATCTGCGTGAGCGTTTCTCCTTTCTCCGTTCTCCTGATGCTCTTTGCAGATCCCACCTTAAGTCTTCAAACTCCTTCACACAAAACGGATTTTGCTTCATATTCCTTCACTGTTCATGCTGCTAGACTCTGGAACTCTTTGCCTGCCGATATACGTGACAGTCGCACTATTTCTGTGTTCAAAAAAAGAGTAAAGGATCATTATCTTTCCTGTTGTTGATATTGGATAGTGTAGGTATTATTAATCTTTATATATTATAGATATATATATTATTATTTATATAATGTTTGAACCGTTATGTATTTTTATTTTCTCTCTTTCCCGGTATTTGAATTTGTTTTTTTTATTCCATATTAATTTATTTAGGAGGTACACACTGACTACCTTATTGTATTTCTTTTTCCTGTTTTGGGCCTGCTGGTAGAAATTTCAATTTGAAATAAGCAGTGCCCTTGTACTAATGTCTGTTACATTTGTTCATATGAAATTGTATGTGTGTACAAAATAAATAAATAAATAGATAATCCAACATTTTGTGGCGGCGGCCATCTTGTATATAAAATTTTGTCATAGTAAACAGTATTCTACTACTCAAGCCCTTTTATTTAATGTCCGTATTGAGGGAGTCGTGAAAAATATGTAGGTAATCCAACATTTTTGGTGGCGGCCATCTTGGATTTGAAATTTGTCATAGTGTTCAGTATTCTACTACTCAAGCCCTCTTATTTGATACCCATATTGATGGAATGGTGATAAAATATGTGATCCGACATTTTGTGGCGGCGGCCATCTTGTATCGATTTTCATCAAAGTGAAGAACACTCCCGACTAATACACCTTTTAAACAAAATCAAAATGGGTTCATCCGTTCGGGAACTATGATGCCACAAAAAGACACAAACACACCACACACACACACACAGAGACATGTCAAACTTATAACACCGCGTCGTTTTTGCGTCCGGGATTAAAAATATATTGAATTTAGAAAAAGTTGTTTCATATGCGGATCTCCGATAAATTTGATATCGGTCGAATTGCATCGAGCCATAAGTCTAAGTTAATCCTCATTACGTAAGTCAACTTCTAGTGAAAGTCTCTTCAAAATCGGCCAAGCCGTTTCAGAGATTAGCCAGAACTAACAGACAGACAGATAAAATATATTATTTTTGTATATGTACCATGTATACACACAAATGTATTTAGTGAAAAGCGGTTATTTTAATATTACAAATATGCACTCCAATTTTATGTACTAGTATAAGTGTATTGAGAGAAGAAGTACCTTGCTTTATTTGCATTTCATAATATAAATATATATTTTAACTTTCTTATACAAATATACCTAGGGGTCTTTCGACCTATGCTGAAAATAACAAATGTGTATTAGAAATAATTCAATAAGCTATATAAATTCCATATAAATCGAACTTCGTGACCAAAGTTGGAAGTCCCACTATACTGCTCTATTTACGCTCGCTCGAACGTATCTAGATCGAAAAATGGCGCGAAGAAATGCGACACAGGTCTAACGTTGAGGAGCGCTCGCGCGGTACTGAGCTCAGACGGCCGCTGCATCTTATTTTGTAGTGATTTTGCGTTTACATTTATCGTATTTATTGAAATAATATAATAAATTTATGCTTTAAAATTATAATAACTTTGTTCCTCATGAAATAGTCATTAATCTGGCATAAATTTTGTTAAATAATATTGTTGTGGCTAAGAGAAATTCAAAGTTAACTTCAAGCAATTTTTGATGTTTTTTGGTTTGTAATATAATTGTTTTTCTATATTTAATCAGTGCTATTTCAAAATTTCGAGCTACTGTTTACTTTACGACTATATAAGAGATATCATTCTATTTCTTTTATTTCGTTTGTTAAGAACAGTAGCTCAATCCAGGACTTCAAAAAAGTGTCTTTGCGCATTTTATGAAAAACTTTCTCTGGTATTTTGGATTTAATTAAAAAGATGAGCAAAATTTCCAAAAAGTTGAGCCACTAATTTCTATACCAAGAGTTATTCTTCACTATTCAACAAGTCAAAATTGTTAATTTGTTTTTGTTTCCGAGAAAAATCACGCAGAAATCACAGTTGTTAAATCAGATGTAATCGTAGACGTAGCTTTCTGACTTTAGAAATAATATATCTTTTCATAATCCCATCACTTTTACGCGTCGAACCATTAATGGGATGCGTCGAGTCGATCGGGCGTCAGATATATGGAATAATAACTTTTCTATTTAAATATCGTATTTTAGATGTCGCGGGAGAGCCGAACGACCAATCGAATTCACCCATCGCTCGCTACCTTTCATCCTTTAGATTGCATTTTTTTATTATTATTTAAGATTTTTTTTCTAATTTAATTGTTTTTATATTTTTTCATTTAATTTTTATTCAACTGTATCTGTACAAAAAAAAAGCAATTTGAGAAAAATAAATGCTCATTATCATAACAAGTAGGTATGTAGGTAGACAGATCTTTATCTGCAGGCCCCTCTCCGAGTTCATTCAGCTAGCTTCGGGCCTCCTCGTGCGTCGACGTATCTGCGCTCTAAGATCCCTTTCGATATTCCACTACCAACGAGCGGGCCGCCTCTCTCTTTCGGGTGCACATCGACGTCGAGCACTCTCATAATATGCAATATATGATTGGATTGACGGAGTCTAGTTTTATTGAGCTTTTCGGGTAACGGGGTTACGTCTAACGACGGGCAGCTGAGTGAATTAGGTTTCGGATCTTTACGGAATCGCTCGCGTGCTTCTCTAGGGCGGGCCGGCCTCGCTGCGGTCCCGTAGATCTCGCCTCGATCGACATTCGCGCGTCGCACAGGCCACCTGCGCGGAAGCGCGCGTTAAAGTTCATCGGAACTCCGGGGCCGCTCGCTCGCGGGCGACGGGCGCCGCGGGGACGGGACCGGAGATCTCCGTAAAAATAGGAAAGCGCAGGCCCGAGAGATATACCTACGGTCAGGGTGTTCCCTGCGCGAGGGGCAGATTGTCTGTGACGGCCGGTATCGCCCGCAGGGTCGGCAAGCTGACGTCGTCGGGCGACCCGGCGGCGGCGTGCGCCACGCAGGTGGCCGAGCTGCACAACGCGCGCGTCAACCGCCGCGCCCTCCGCGCCCCGCGCACCGCCCTCGCCGCCCCCCGCGCCCCCCGCGCGCCCCGCCCCTGCACGCTGCCCGCGCACTACGCCGCGCTGCTGCGCGACCGCCACCAGTAGGCGGCCGAGATAATAAACGGAACTCGACGAGATCGCTTTTTATTTCCCTTCGCCGATCTGTTCAATATTTAGATATTTTATGGATCTTAACGTCATTCCACCAGGCACGTCTTTACCCACGATGCAGGGGGTGCACCCTGGCGCTGCGCCGATGATGGTCTGATCTTGTAGTACCTACTCATCGTGGACTTCGGTGATGCGCCCCAGAGTGGTAATGTTATGTCAATAATTTTTATACTTTTCAGCCGCTGAACGAGTCTCGAAATATGCATCGTTGAACCTGGATACAATTTTATGGCCCTAGTCATCCACTGTCCTGGCGATGCACCGGCGAGATGTCCGGCCGAAAAGAGGATCCAGGAAGATCAGCGGAGGGGTTCTGGGCGGCGCTCTAAAACATCTGGGATGTTACTCAGTATGAGACGAGTCCGGAGACTGCGCTCCAAAACTCAGACATTGAGTTGATGGCTATCTTAAAGCTTCCCAGGGGTGGGAAGAAACCCCGATACGGGGGATATCACTTCCCATACGATTTAAACGACGATTACGATTTAATTTTACTTTCCAACAAAACAAAATAATTTATGTAGTAGAAGATACCATTACGTTCGCGACGGTAGGGGCTGCGATAGAAAAATCTCAATAATTAAGGACTACACGTTTAGGTCGTACTGCGCGCCGTCGTCGTCTGGCGAGGAGCGCGTCCTCGGATTTTGTAGCTTCGTCTGCGACGCGGAGAACAATAGCTTCGAGCAAGATTAGTCGTCGAACCCGTCGCCGCTTGTTATATATAAAATTATTCGTTTGTCTATCTTCAGACAATAAATTTTATAATAACAGTTTGGGAAATAAATCATTATTATTAGTTTAAAAAGTATAAACCGTTACAAGTCTACGGATGGCTGTATGTTCATCCGCGTATTTTTCGTCATTATTAATGAGCTTCCGTTTGTGGAAATACTATGTTTTATTAAATTTAAGTTTGTTTAACTTTAAATAAGGAACGAATAAAAAAAATCTTGCAAAATAAAACCGACTTCAAAAAGCTCGATTAAAAATAATTCAAGAATCTTCTATCAGAGTCGGGAGAGGGAGGAGAGAGTTTATCGTTTATCACAGTTCTTAAGAACTATACCGATTAACGAACACGCCTTTGTATAAGACATTATCATATAACTATTATCACTATCTTCCTTCTTATCTTATAATATAATAAACGCGAAAGTTTGAATAAAAGTTACTTCTTCATGCAAAAACTACTGAACGGATTTTAACCTAATCTGGTGTATGGATAACAATACTACAAATACCCAGGCTACTATTTATTCCAATTAACACTACCCTAGGGACCTTAATAGTTTTCAGTATTATGGTGATTGAGCACCCATAACGACCTACATAGTTTGATTTGGTTATATGTATACTAGCTTTCCGTCAGCGGCTTTGTCTGCGTGGTGAATTTTAATTACTATCATGTCTTTAGTGACACTCGCAAGGTTAAGACGAATCGATTGACGTAAGAATCATCAAAATTGGCCTACGCATTTGGTCTCTAGAACGCCACATAGAAACAAACATACATACATAGACTGATAAACACATTACCCTCCTATGCGACGCGCAATCGGATAAAAAATGCATATCGTATCCAACCGCGGTTGGGTCTGATCATTAGGTTAAGTTTATTTAATAGTTTTCAGTATTAAATTATATATATTTTTTTTATATACTTTCCGCAACCGAAACTTGACTAGGTATTCTGTTATGTTTGTTTGATGAGACTGTGTCATTCTGCTCAAACCTTAATTAATGCGATTTATCATATCCGGTTTTGTTCGTTAGCAGCAAAACATTATGAGTATAATGTACTGCGCAAGTGTACGACCTTGCCCGCGATCAGGTGTCTTCTATAAATAGTGCGCAAATTAATACAAAAAATAGGTCACAAACTCACAACAGCACAAGGAAGAGTCGTGTATGACTCCATATTATAAAAATAAGTCAGTGAAAGTAATAGGAATTTGATCCACACTGTTTTTCTTTGTATAAATAGTTATGCCATAATATAATAGGTAGTTAGGTAATTGGGTTATTATCACATTTGGGTTCACTACAAGGAGATAAATATATGCAAGTGCTAATCTAATCCTCTCTAGCATTTTCAGCATATTTTGAGAGCCTCGATGACTGAATGGTCGAAGCATCTGTAAAACATCAATACATACATAGGCGTTTCGCTGCCCTACCTATATAAAATAATATCATTTACATAGGTACTTGACAACTCGGGTATAGTTTTAAAAGGTACTCTACAATAAACATTTTGATAGCAAATAAGTAGGTATATCACCCAGCAACTCAGCACAGCAACATACAATGTGAGCCGGAAATTATTAGACCAACGTAAAAGAAAATCGTATGATGTTTGTTTACATTTTGTAGTGTTTTCATTGAATCTCACGGTAGGCGTGGCTAACGACCTAGTAGTACCAACATAGCACTGCGTAAATAATAATAATACGCAACATTCGCAGCATCGCGCTACGTAAACGACCCCATATACGGTACGATCCGTCGCTACACTGGATCTGAAGAAAATCGTGACGATTCATCACATCGTGTTGCCTCTCACTCGACTCACGAAACAATTGATCGTACTGTAACTACACTTCAATAAAAACCTTAACTCGTTAAATGTTAAGAGTAGAAAATCGACTGAAGTTTGAGATGTTGTGGTAACTTAAAGTGTTTCTACACGTTCAATCTATCATTATTACAATAATTATTCATGAATGATCTATTGGTCTCTGTTTCGATTACGATGTCGTCTTCGATTATATGCATAATCCTTTTTTATTTGGACATACACTAACGATTCTTCCGTTGTTGCGATCAGTCTCAAAAAAATCATATAAACGAATCCTTCGACGACATACCGTACATTATAAAGGACACTTAAAAATACGTATGTCGTTCGCTATTTCAACGTGATTACGTGACGTGAGTGTAAAATTCGCAAACATGTTTTGACTAAAGTATAAATTATTGTGTACTTGTAAACTGTTTCAGTCAGAATTCAGTGCTATCATAAATGCTAGTAAGAAAATCCTGATAAATTATCGAATTGGCAAATTACTAAAAGTTATCTTAATAATTATTTTGGTTCGAGGTTACAGCTTAGGTTGGTAACTCTGATCGTCCGATATTATATTTACGTCACTAGTCGGATTGAATCTGTCAGTGAGTGAATTGGTGAACGTTTATGTTGTCACGGATTTATTTTTTTAAGGAAGATAGTTATTAATTGAATTGAAATTGTGCCGTTTTACTTTATAATTATTGCGTATTACTATATCAACGAATCTAAAAGTAGGTCGAAGCAATGAGCGATAACAAAGACATTAAGTTATAATATTTCAAGTAATAAATAAAATTCTGAAACTTCTTAAAACCTCCTGAATAATAGTGTTTTTTTGTGGAATAAGTCTAGAACTGTTTGTAACTGAAAGTGACCTATCAGTATTGCAACGATGTCATCACTCGGGAATCAGTGGCGAGTAATTCGACACTATCTTTCCCTTACGAGTTGGAACACGGAGATGGAAAAACTGGCCCAAAAACTAAAGCCCATCACATCGGATCAATGGGAGAGTAAGTTTATATTTGTTTTACATATGCAGGTTGTATATACCTCAACGCCAGGACCCTTGCAAATGTGTATTTGCCATTATAGTAGAGATTTTTTTTTATGTTGGTGATCATCATCCTATTTGATAGGTTGTTCAACTGAATACATATGTAATTTAATACTTGCAGACTTGCTGAAGAAATTTGAGAATAGTATATCTACAAAATTGAAAGAAACACAGAAGGAAACAACTAGTCAAAATGTATTAAAAGCAACTGCAATTGAGGAAGCAGCGACAGAGACTAAAGAAGTTGCTAAAGAGAATATTGAGAGGGCTGAAGAGAAGGCAATGGAAAGCTTTCCTGAGAGTTCTCCTATGACATTTGAAAGTTTAATGCAAGGACTCAGGCTAAAGAAGGATCTACACTTTGGCAAGATATCTGAACCCAGCTGGAAAAATAATAAACCTATAGTAACTAAGGTAAGTAAAAATATTATCATTTTATTACTAAACCTTTGGACAAGGTAATGTGCAATGAATTAAAATTAAAACTACATGAAAACAGTTTAAGAAATGAAGATTAAGTCAAAGATTTTTAATAAATGTATTTAATAATATATTATCATGCCATTAGTATACTTGACTATGTGCAAATTTGTAAATGGAGCCCCATTTTCTACGTCCGATAATTGTCTCTTTGATGTTTGAAATTTTTCTGCACAATCAGCTTTTAGCTAAAGTATTTGGATGACCTTTATTATTTTTATATCTGACAATGTTAATGTTCAAATTTATGTTTAAAATAATGTCAAATCTTAAGGTCTAAAGAAAATGAAATATAGAAAAAGTTCAATAATAATAATAATATTAATATTATAATAATATTTTTTATTGGAACTTTACACTTTACAGGTATTATCGTGTACGAAAGCAGCCGCTTTAGTTTAAAAACTGAGTTGCAGCCACAAACGCCCACCTTCATTGTATAAAGAACAACGTTCCACTCGACATATTTATATAATTCAAGTTTAGAATTAAATTAAATAGCATGCATTCTTATCATTACTACTGTGTGTGTAGAATGTTAGTGTATATGAAAGTATGAGTATGTGTATATGAGTGTAAGTTTGTGTGTATTTGTATTATATGTTATGTTTTTGTGTATTTCTTTTATACAAACTGCGATGCAATTGTTTATTGTTAATAAAAAGTGAGTTAAGTTGTCAATACTCTATTAAGATAAATTACAATGCTGACTCATTGTTTGTTTTGCATTGATGTAATGTAGTGAAAAAGATTTTGAGAGTATTTGCAAAATATTCTAAATATTTGAGGTGTTATCTCTTATCAGGCTAACACACAAACAATACAGATGTTTATTGTTTAAAAACATTGACATACAAAGCGAAGATAAGTGTTGAAAATATTAGGAATGAATGTGACCTCCATATGATAATTTTGCATACCTAAATCAAATTCTACATTATATTTAGCAAATATGTATCAATAAAGCATTTTATACTGATTTCTAATAGTCCACATTTAATACAAAAACTTTGAAAAATAACATCATCTTGGGTGTAGTCAAATGGAACCTGCAAGAATCTGAAACATCTGAAAGATGAAACAATATTATCCAAAAATATACAAGATAATAATGAAACCTATCAAAGATGTTCCTAAGTGGATTCAATGTTTTTGTTTTCATATAGACATCGATCCACTCACGTACTGCGTACGTGATCTCCGCTCTGTTAACTGCAGAGACGGAAGATGCGTTGCGACGCCGCGCCGAACACTTCGTGGACCATTTGCTCCAGTACCCCGAGGCACGAGACTATGCCATTAAGGTATACAAATACTACAATCAGAAAAGGAAAGATGTGTTTTTCTGAGCTTTCGTCATTCTAATCGCTCCAAGTCACATTTTAGTCAGTTTTTTTTATCATTTGATCGGGAGCTCTCGTCTTCAGTTTCTTACCTTAGCCCTCGTTAACAGGAGGGTGCTATAAGGGCGCTGGTGCGGGTTCAGCATCGGCTAAAAGAAGATTCGCCTCTCGCCAAGGAGGTTCACGGAATCGTTAACGAGGTAAGTGAAATAAGAAATAGGAACTGAAATGATATTGCAAAAACACGCGGGGTGGGCGGGGCGGGGCCCGCGCGTGCTGGCGCTGGACGGGGGCGGCGTGCGGGGGCTGTACAGTGCGCGTGTATAGAGTGGGTGTGGGGTGTGTAGGCACTGGCGCTGGTGGGGCACGCGGGGGGGCGGGGCGGGGCCCGCGCGTGCTGGCGCTGGACGGGGGCGGCGTGCGGGGGCTGTACAGTGCGCGTGTATAGAGTGGGTGTGGGGTGTGTAGGCACTGGCGCTGGTGGGGCACGCGGGGTGGGCGGGGCGGGGCCCGCGCGTGCTGGCGCTGGACGGGGGCGGCGTGCGGGGGCTGTACAGTGCGCGTGTATAGAGTGGGTGTGGGATGTGTAGGCACTGGCGCTGGTGGGGCACGCGGGGTGGGCGGGGCGGGGCCCGCGCGTGCTGGCGCTGGACGGGGGCGGCGTGCGGGGGCTGTACAGTGCGCGTGTATAGAGTGGGTGTGGGGTGTGTAGGCACTGGCGCTGGTGGGGCACGCGGGGTGGGCGGGGCGGGGCCCGCGCGTGCTGGCGCTGGACGGGGGCGGCGTGCGGGGGCTGTACAGTGCGCGTGTATAGAGTGGGTGTGGGATGTGTAGGCACTGGCGCTGGTGGGGCACGCGGGGTGGGCGGGGCGGGGCCCGCGCGTGCTGGCGCTGGACGGGGGCGGCGTGCGGGGGCTGTACAGTGCGCGTGTATAGAGTGGGTGTGGGGTGTGTAGGCACTGGCGCTGGTGGGGCACGCGGGGTGGGCGGGGCGGGGCCCGCGCGTGCTGGCGCTGGACGGGGGCGGCGTGCGGGGGCTGTACAGTGCGCGTGTATAGAGTGGGTGTGGGGTGTGTAGGCACTGGCGCTGGTGGGGCACGCGGGGTGGGCGGGGCGGGGCCCGCGCGTGCTGGCGCTGGACGGGGGCGGCGTGCGGGGGCTGTACAGTGCGCGTGTATAGAGTGGGTGTGGGGTGTGTAGGCACTGGCGCTGGTGGGGCACGCGGGGTGGGCGGGGCGGGGCCCGCGCGTGCTGGCGCTGGACGGGGGCGGCGTGCGGGGGCTGTACAGTGCGCGTGTATAGAGTGGGTGTGGGGTGTGTAGGCACTGGCGCTGGTGGGGCACGCGGGGTGGGCGGGGCGGGGCCCGCGCGTGCTGGCGCTGGACGGGGGCGGCGTGCGGGGGCTGTACAGTGCGCGTGTATAGAGTGGGTGTGGGGTGTGTAGGCACTGGCGCTGGTGGGGCACGCGGGGTGGGCGGGGCGGGGCCCGCGCGTGCTGGCGCTGGACGGGGGCGGCGTGCGGGGGCTGTACAGTGCGCGTGTATAGAGTGGGTGTGGGGTGTGTAGGCACTGGCGCTGGTGGGGCACGCGGGGTGGGCGGGGCGGGGCCCGCGCGTGCTGGCGCTGGACGGGGGCGGCGTGCGGGGGCTGTACAGTGCGCGTGTATAGAGTGGGTGTGGGGTGTGTAGGCACTGGCGCTGGTGGGGCACGCGGGGTGGGCGGGGCGGGGCCCGCGCGTGCTGGCGCTGGACGGGGGCGGCGTGCGGGGGCTGTACAGTGCGCGTGTATAGAGTGGGTGTGGGGTGTGTAGGCACTGGCGCTGGTGGGGCACGCGGGGTGGGCGGGGCGGGGCCCGCGCGTGCTGGCGCTGGACGGGGGCGGCGTGCGGGGGCTGTACAGTGCGCGTGTATAGAGTGGGTGTGGGGTGTGTAGGCACTGGCGCTGGTGGGGCACGCGGGGTGGGCGGGGCGGGGCCCGCGCGTGCTGGCGCTGGACGGGGGCGGCGTGCGGGGGCTGTACAGTGCGCGTGTATAGAGTGGGTGTGGGGTGTGTAGGCACTGGCGCTGGTGGGGCACGCGGGGTGGGCGGGGCGGGGCCCGCGCGTGCTGGCGCTGGACGGGGGCGGCGTGCGGGGGCTGTACAGTGCGCGTGTATAGAGTGGGTGTGGGGTGTGTAGGCACTGGCGCTGGTGGGGCACGCGGGGTGGGCGGGGCGGGGCCCGCGCGTGCTGGCGCTGGACGGGGGCGGCGTGCGGGGGCTGTACAGTGCGCGTGTATAGAGTGGGTGTGGGGTGTGTAGGCACTGGCGCTGGTGGGGCACGCGGGGTGGGCGGGGCGGGGCCCGCGCGTGCTGGCGCTGGACGGGGGCGGCGTGCGGGGGCTGTACAGTGCGCGTGTATAGAGTGGGTGTGGGGTGTGTAGGCACTGGCGCTGGTGGGGCACGCGGGGTGGGCGGGGCGGGGCCCGCGCGTGCTGGCGCTGGACGGGGGCGGCGTGCGGGGGCTGTACAGTGCGCGTGTATAGAGTGGGTGTGGGGTGTGTAGGCACTGGCGCTGGTGGGGCACGCGGGGTGGGCGGGGCGGGGCCCGCGCGTGCTGGCGCTGGACGGGGGCGGCGTGCGGGGGCTGTACAGTGCGCGTGTATAGAGTGGGTGTGGGGTGTGTAGGCACTGGCGCTGGTGGGGCACGCGGGGTGGGCGGGGCGGGGCCCGCGCGTGCTGGCGCTGGACGGGGGCGGCGTGCGGGGGCTGTACAGTGCGCGTGTATAGAGTGGGTGTGGGGTGTGTAGGCACTGGCGCTGGTGGGGCACGCGGGGTGGGCGGGGCGGGGCCCGCGCGTGCTGGCGCTGGACGGGGGCGGCGTGCGGGGGCTGTACAGTGCGCGTGTATAGAGTGGGTGTGGGGTGTGTAGGCACTGGCGCTGGTGGGGCACGCGGGGTGGGCGGGGCGGGGCCCGCGCGTGCTGGCGCTGGACGGGGGCGGCGTGCGGGGGCTGTACAGTGCGCGTGTATAGAGTGGGTGTGGGGTGTGTAGGCACTGGCGCTGGTGGGGCACGCGGGGTGGGCGGGGCGGGGCCCGCGCGTGCTGGCGCTGGACGGGGGCGGCGTGCGGGGGCTGTACAGTGCGCGTGTATAGAGTGGGTGTGGGGTGTGTAGGCACTGGCGCTGGTGGGGCACGCGGGGTGGGCGGGGCGGGGCCCGCGCGTGCTGGCGCTGGACGGGGGCGGCGTGCGGGGGCTGTACAGTGCGCGTGTATAGAGTGGGTGTGGGGTGTGTAGGCACTGGCGCTGGTGGGGCACGCGGGGTGGGCGGGGCGGGGCCCGCGCGTGCTGGCGCTGGACGGGGGCGGCGTGCGGGGGCTGTACAGTGCGCGTGTATAGAGTGGGTGTGGGGTGTGTAGGCACTGGCGCTGGTGGGGCACGCGGGGTGGGCGGGGCGGGGCCCGCGCGTGCTGGCGCTGGACGGGGGCGGCGTGCGGGGGCTGTACAGTGCGCGTGTATAGAGTGGGTGTGGGGTGTGTAGGCACTGGCGCTGGTGGGGCACGCGGGGTGGGCGGGGCGGGGCCCGCGCGTGCTGGCGCTGGACGGGGGCGGCATAGAGAGAGATTAGAAGTATAATGATATTGATTTAGTATGGGAACCGAGTGTCGCCTCTCCGCACACAAATACAGATTAGATGAAATGATCATTTTGTTCACTACATGAAAAACCGCCACGCGATACGTTCGCGATAACATAAACAAAATCCTAAAAAGATACTAAGCTAAGAAATCACACAATTAAAAACAAACTCTAATTCAACGTGATAATAAATAATTTACTTTAACATGAATGTTGAACTGTCACGTGGCTGTATATGGGGATACCAGAAGGGAAGAAATATTTTAAGATTATGCACATTTTAAAAAATTGGGGACATCATTTTATGTGCGAACTATTAAGATTAGATTTTGCTGTAACCAAGTGAATATTGAAAAATAACGCTTTTCCCTATATAATTTATTAAAATATTTTTTAAAAAACGCAGTACGAAAACTAAGAAAACTTAATGATAAACTCTATCATATGTCTGTGGAGTAATATAATTAAGCGAGGAAAAGTGTAAAAAAATAAAAAATTAAGAAACCAACAGAATTTTTGTATTAATTACATTAAACGTAATTTGTAATTTTTTCTTACTGGTATCATTCCGATTGTGCATATTAGTGATGTGACATAATATTAGTTGATAAAATAAAAGCTTTAAATTTTGTTATGAAACAGTTAAACGTAATTCAGTTCGACAATGTTCTACAGTGGTTTTATAGTAATTATTTAAAGCTTAATTCAAATAAAATGAAATACATAAAGTTTGCATTACCTAATGTGAGGCATATTAATACACTTATAAATGTAAATAGTGTAAAAGTTGAGTTGGTGAAATAGACATAGTTCCTTGGTATTACACTAGATTCCCGACTGCAATGGGATTCTCATATTGATAATTTGTCAAGTAGACTGAGTTCTGCAGCATTTGCTGTTAAGAAAATTAGACTCTTGACAAATGTTGAAACGGCAGGATTGGTATATTTTAGTTATTTTTGTAGTGTAATGACGTATAATCTATTGTTGTGGGGTTCTGCGGCTAGCATTCAAGATATTTTTATTCTACAAAAGAGAGCTGTCCACGCTATATATAATTTACGGTCTAGAGAATCTCTCAGAGAAATATTTTAAGAAATAAATATTTTGACTGTTGCCTCTCAATACATCAATGAAAATATTATCTACGCAAGAAAACATTACGATTTCTTCACAAAAAAAAGTAGTGTACACAATAATCTTAACACAAGAAATAAAAATAAACTTGCCATTCCAAGCTTCAGACTTCAGGTAACCAGAGGATCATTTCTGGGTAAATGCATTGCTATGTTCAATAAAGTTCGTAATTGACATACCCATAAATAAATTTAAAAATCATGTAATGAACATACTTATGAGTAAAGGCTATTATAAAGTTGATGATTATTTTAAGAATCGCAATGCATGGAATTAATAGCCTTCGCTTTGTTCTATAAAGACTAATTATATGTTCAACCTATATCCTACAGACTTTGAAAGTTGTATTTATTATTGTGATATGATATGAAATGACATGATTTATGTAAATATCATTACTTATGATAAAGGGCTGGTAAGTTTCTTTCGCTTGTTCTTCTTGTCAGCTAAAAGACGTCCTGAACGAGTGGTAGGGGAAAAAAAATTTTTGGACGATTCAAAAGTGCTTGTAATAGGCTACTTGAATAAAGATATTTTCATTTCATTTCATTATAACTAATATGATCATTACAATAATAAATTGATCATAGCCATGTTTGTTTTACTTTATTATTCTAAGTTTTATATCTGTAATAATAATAGTACCTACATTTTTAATTGCAACGACTGGACAATAAGGAATCGCTGGTCAAGTATGAGTTTGAAAGCCGTGACAAAAAAGTTTGAAGACAGACACAAAAGCGATAAGTACGTACAAACGTCAATCTACATATAAAGTCACATCCGTTTGAGACATGCGTTTATAAACTTATGTGCAAATATGGAGCAACAAAAAAACTGATAAAAGCTGTTCTGTGGGCGGTTCTTTAAAGTGACTATCTTAACTCGATTTCTATAATAATGGTTTCCGATTATGAATCAGCATAATAAAGTAAATTAAATTAACGCTTATAAATTGATTTTGTAAATTAAATTCACACCACCAACAATATTACGTTAGTTGAAAACATGATTTTTTGTTTGTATAGATATTATGTTGTTTTGAAATTCATTTGATAGGTTTAGGTCTAAAACGGATAGGACAAAATAAATAATGTAAACAGGGCAATCCGTTGTAAAATTATTAGGGAAACTGAAATATAAATAATGCAAAAGAAGTGAAATCCAGTTCCACCAGTTTCTAATAAGACCTATTAGGCCAACACTCTTAGCTTTTCACGAAGTTTCGTTTGATTTATATATTGTTCATAAAACGTTGATATACTTCGTAACTTAGATATTTATAGCACATCAGTATTTTTTAATATTTGTCTGCGTGTAAATAATTAACCGAATCTTCGTAAAAAAGTGCCTGGATAGTTCATTATTTCATCTGTTCAGTATCAATTCATCTTTTATTTTCTCTTGTAAACAGTAGCATTTATTTTTATATAATTATGGCATATACTTATCCATAACGTTGTTATGAAATGATAAAAGAAAAGCTCTAAATAAATTTGTTTTAGTTATCGATTACGATTCATATAATTAACAATATGATTCCGAGCAGCAGCAGCCTATCGGTACATTTCAGACAAATGGAGGCACAGCACTATTTTTTGCAAAAGTGCACAATATGATTTACATTGCTGTCTAGAAACGGGATCAGAAACATTGATGTTGGTTTGAGCAAACAATGTATATTTTATTTGAAATTGTGTCAAATTATTACGTTTTTTATATTTTAGCATTAAAATTGTACTTACCAGTGAATGGAAATGTTTGCATTAGTTAGATTGTATACTTTGCTTTGCTTTTTGCAAGTGATAATAGCAAAAAACGGCATTTTTCATAGAAAAAATCTGTAAAATCACCACTCGACGTTTGACGAACGACTGACAAACGTAAAACCGAGGAAAGGGCGTCATATGAGTAAAAGCGCATATGCCAGCCACGCGTGCCCCGCCCATCTATGATAGAGCTTCGTGAAAAAGCCCATGAAAGATCAGAGTTAGATGTACACAGTTTTATAAGGACATGAAAAAAATGGTTTCTACTAGCATTATAAATGAAAAGCGCGCCTTTTTTGATCAATATATCAACAAAAATATAAATAATAGCAAAAATCAAAAATAGAAAAATTTTACCGACTCAAGATAAAGACGATCTCCTTCCAGAATGCTTTGACAGTCCGCATGCTGTAGATACTCATTTTTTGAAGGTGCCTGGCGGGAAGTGTCCATATCTCAGTTGTCTTATTTCGAACATCATCGGCTTAACGTCGTCACGCCTCCATTTAAATTGCATACTGTTACTGAAGCTGAGGTTTCTAAATACATACTGTCAGTGCAATCAAACGCTGTTGGCTGTGATGAAATAAATAGGGACATGGTGTTGCTGTCACTACCACGTACGCTCTCGGTAATTACTTCAATAATAAACAGGTCAATGGTCTCAAATACGTTCCCTAATCAGTGGAAGACTGCACTTATTACACCATTGCTAAAAGTTGAATGTCCTAATGAGTCAAATGATGTAAGGTCAATAAGTATATTGCCTTTCTTGTCCAAAATATTGGAAAAGTTTGTCTATTGCCAACTGGTAAAGTTTGTAGATGCAGATAATATATTGCCACCACATCAATCCGGCTTTCGGAAGGGTCGTGGCACTGTAACATGATTGTTGGATGTTACAGACAATGTTCTTGCAGAACAGGATGTTGGTCGCGTTACATTGTTATCGCTTCTTCATTTCTCGCGAGGCTTTGATGGTCTCAGTGTTCCTCTACTTTTATCTAAGTAAGCCTATTACGGCTGCGATTCGAACTCGATGATGTGGTTTAGTACTTCAGCAATCACTTTCAGTTTATTAGACTCCGCAATCTTGGAATGATTTTTGATAGTCAATTGCGTTTTGAGCACCATGTATTGGGTATTGTTAGGATTTGATTTTACCGGCTGAAGGTACTGTATAGAATACGAAATTTTCTATCGGAAGAAGCTCGCATTGCCTTATGTATATCTAAATAAAGACAATTGGTAAAATAAACACAAATATTCTATGTATATTGTGCTCTATAATTTATGTTTTCTGTTTTTTTTTTCATACTCTGATGTATATAATCTGTGATGGTAACAATCAATATATAATATTTAACTTTCTCACAATTTATATTTTGCATTTTTTAATTAATTAATCGAGTGAACTGTTATATTCCATTATAATACTTGTGACATTTAATAATTAAAGTATCATTTCAAAGTGACGCTATTGTTTGAGATTTTGGGTAAAGGCTGAAAATCGGCTGAAAGGCTGAAAGGCTGAAACGTTTTGCTCCCTAAGCAAAGGAATCGCTAAGCTTTTTTAACCTTTTGCATTGCTGTGGCGTACACGTGAAATCGGATTTTTTGTTGTTTTAATGCAAATAAATGAATTTTTGATCTATCTTTTTAAATTGAACTAAATTTATATTAATCTAGTTAAAAGGAGTTTTACGAAGATAATATAACAGAATGATAGTAGTACTATAATATGTATATTATATTGATGACATGGCACAATGTGAAAACGAAGCGTAATTATAAATAGACTTTTATTTTATCGCGCAGGGAGCGGCGGCACTCTGGAGATGGCCAACGAGATGTATCTGACGCTGTCTAAGAAAATGTTCGGTAACACTTCCGTCATCGGCGGTGAGTGACCCGGCGACTCGTATTAATATTTATTATTTCTAAAATCTCAGGAGCAACTGGAACGAATCGAATAATTGTTTTCGTATTGAATAGTCCACTTACCTATACGTCACGCTATGATTCGTAGCAGCGAAGCAGCGATGAAAAATGTTACAGAAACGGGACAATATTTATTTTTTGAGAGCATTTCATCATGCGTGCGCTGCGTCAAAATATAATTTTAAATACTTTAAATGAATGACATGTCATAGTTAATACCTGAGACCTACCAATAGTATACTTATGTATGCCTCAGGCGCGTCCCGCCTGGTGTGGACGCAGTCGTACTACGACACGGCGGCGTGGGAGCGCCTGCTGCAGCACCACCTCGGCGCGCGCACGCTCTCGCGCTGCAACCGCACGCACGGGCCCAAGGTACCACTCATCTATCGACCGCTTCTGAGCCCGAGAGGACCCTCAAACGGGTACCGGCCGTTCCCGACCACTGACATCTGAAATTTTGTCAACCGTTCCTGCGGCGAAATCGGTTTTGCTTATTTCTTTTTTATCTCGCCGTACATTGCGGACGCGACCCTGGCGATCGGATCGCTTTGGATTCTATTCTTTTTGAAACTTTTAACAAGAATTTAAGTGTTTTTCCGAGAGATCATGCCCGGCAAGCAGCTTTATGAAAATTATTTAAACGTAAAAATTAAATATATAATTTTATGAGATTATTTTTAATCAATTTGAAATAGGCAACTATATATCTAAGTTATGTAAACACATTTTACAACTATCGTAGCAAAAATAAACATTCGGATTACGACATCGGACACATCTATGGTTGATATCGATTTCAACAATAAAATATTATTCTAACCTTTCAATATGAGAAAGTGATCACGAAAGGAGGAGCGAAAGGTTCACTTTTGAGAACGTCATATTTAAATATCCGTTTACGACACAATATTTTCGTGTCCTTTTCATTGACATTACTCATTTTCCGAATGCAACTGAGTCCATCCGAGCTCCCCGAAAATCCACGTAAACGCGGGCGGCGTTGAATTCGACCATCTGTTCTCGGTCGCTCTCCTGTATCGTTCTGTGGTAAAACGTATCGCTATAGTGGTTCTATCTACTTTATATCGAAAGCACTAGGACTAATTAACTAACGAATCAAATAAAACGATGAATCTCTGAACGCTCGCATCGAGCCGGCGAATGAGGGAGAGTACTCGTACAGTGCTAGTGGTCGTGTGCAGCTGGCGCTAGTGTCGTGCGTGGTGAGCCCCGGGCGGCGCGTGTCGCCGTTCCTGTTCCGGTCGTACGCGGCGCCGTTCCGCGTCCGGTCGCAGTTCCCGGGCTCCAGTCGCGCCGCGCTGTGGCAGGCGGTGCGCGCCTCCGCCGCCGCGCCCACCTACTTCCACGAGTTCCGCCTGCACGGGCTGCTGCACCAGGACGGCGGCATCGTGGTCAACAACCCCGCGGGCGTGGGGCTGCACGAGGCGCGGCTGCTGTACGGCGCGGGGGCCATGGCCCGCGCCACGCTCGTCAGCGTGGGCACCGGCCGCCCCCTGCCCCCGCGGGCCGCCGCCCCCGACCCCGACCCCGACGCGCCCGACGCCCCCGAAGCCACCTCCTGGCGGGACAAGTTCGACAAGATACTCGACTCCGCCACCGACACCGAAGGTCCGAAGGCCGTCCGCCTCGACGGTTCCGTCGGACGATCGATTCTATCGCTCCATCCCCGGGCGGAGCGATAGAATCGGTCGTGCGAGGGAACCGAATGATATATCGGAATACCGATGTATATCCGGATCTTCCTGGATCTTGAACAGATTTACACGTAGCTAGCCGATGCTTGGACTGTATAATTGAAACTTCCTTCGATGGTTTTCACTTCTTCTTTATTCTTAAATCTTGAGGGCCGGAGAGCTTACAAATTTCGCTCAAATCGACCCGTCTTACATTTGTTGGGGTGGCTCGCACTTAGCTCCGTATATTATCAGTTGGTTAGCCTATTACACATCTAACCCCTACTTTGCGAAGCCATCCCCCACCCTTAACATCTATGTATCACATTATTGTTAATTACTACGTTTTACTGTTTCTACATTTACATCATAAATCACGTTGAAACATCATCATATTACTGTTACATAACTCGTATCGTGTCGGGCAAGACCGCGCCGTCGAAGCTCATAATCATTCTAAGGCGCGCCGCGCTCTTGCCCGATGTATTTATGTGGTCAGAGCGAGACGGAAGATCCCGCGTAAACCAGCGCCGTCTCGCTCCGATACATTTTTATTGTTAACATGAAGGTAGTCGAACATTTTACATTTTAAACACCCCTGTATCGAGGCAATACCGTATAGAAACCCACATAAGCTCCCTTGACTCGGGCAATACCATATAGAAAACCCACATAAGCCTCCTTGAGTGAAGCAATACCATACAGAGAGCTACCTAAGCCTCCTTAGCGAGGCAATACCTTATAGAAAACCATATCAAATAAAATCCAACCCCTCACAATCATTTAATTTGCTATAACTTAAATTATCTTAATACTAGGGGAATAAATACACCCATAGGTTGTATCATTTAATTCTAAGCTTTAACCACATTCATTTAACTAAACTTACTTATTATATATAATTTACTTAAGATCATCTAATATATACAACTCGACGAGACGTGCGTCCGTAACAGAGCTCCCCCCGGCGCAGCATCCGCGTAGCCCCATCACTCCATCGTCAGGACCGCCAGTCTCGTCGCCGGTCGCCGGAACGTGCCGCCCTTCGTCTTCACCTCCACATTGCGTATCTCGTTGTCTGGTCCAGGATATACTTTGGTGACGACGCCCCTTGGCCATATGTTGCGGGGTAGTGTGTGATCCACAACTATAACCAAGTCACCCTCTTGTATCGCACGACGCCCAGCGTCGCGGGCACCTCCACGTGGTATGAGCATGGGAAGGTACTCTCGTAGCCATCGACGCCAATATTCATCGGCCAGCGCTTGTGCTGCCCTCCAGGTTCGCTTGTCGGCGCGCTCGCACGGCCCGGTAAAGGGCAGGCCGTTCGAACTACCCAATAAAAAGTGATTGGGCGTGAGTGCTTCTGGATCTTCAATATTGACTGGTACGTGTGTCAGAGGTCGAGCGTTTAAAGTGTATTCGACCTCGGTCAGTAGTGTGACTAAGACTTCCTCTCGCGGCGATTTTTCATGTAGCGTCACTCGTAATGCATTCTTGACACTTCTAACGAGACGTTCCCATGCGCCTCCTTGGTGTGGCGCGCCCGGTGATATGTAACGCCAGTCGACTCGTTGTGTAAGCGCATAGTCTCGTAGTGCCGGCTCCCATTCATTGTATGCGTCCCGTAGCTCACGGTCGGCACCTCTAAAATTCGTCGCATTGTCACTATACATTGTCTTAGGCCACCCCCTCCTCGCCGCCATTCGTCGTAGTGCCATAATCGCGGAGTCGGTAGACAGGCTCCCCACCACTTCGATGTGCACGGCGCGGGTTGAAAGGCATGTGAATAGCGCCCCCCACCTTTTCTCATGTCGTCTTCCTATTGTCACCGTCATAGGGCCAAAATAATCGACGCCACAATTACTGAATGGTCTGATAAAGGCTTCCAATCTTACTTGAGGTAGATCACCGTGTACTGGTTTCGTAGGTATCGCTTTTCTCACGCGACAGAAAGCACATTTATAAGCCACTGCACGCACCGCTGGTCTTAATCGTAATATCCAATATCGTTGTCTAACATCATTCACGACGCGTTCATTGTTCGCGTGATGGGCGCGACGGTGTTCGCGTTGAAGCAACAGCCGCGCATACGGGTGGCTGCCGTCCATTATTACTGGCGTAGTAGCGGGGGCAGACACACCCGCTGCCCTTATTCTCCCGCTCGCTCGTAATACGCCGTTCTCGTCTATGAATGGATCCAGTTTTCGTAATCGACTGCTGTTAGACAACTTTTGGCCAGCTTTAAGACGGTTAATATCATTTGTGAAGCTTTCTTTCTGTGCGTTTTTCAAGAGTAACTCCTCTGCTTTGTTTATGTGTTCCGCGGTTAAATCAGTACCACGGTGGCGACATCTATCGACGAACATTAAAACTCTTGCCATCGTTCTCACGTAGCGTTCGTAAGAGGAAAAGCGATTCACATCGGGAATGCTATAGTTTTCCTGCGGCAGTTGTGCTATCGCGTAACATTCATTTTCATCCGTATTGTTCGTGACGTCACAGGTAGGCCACTCTAATTCGCTAGCGTATAAAAAGGTCGGTCCAGTGAACCACCTATCCGTATTCGATTTTACGTAAGCTTCGCCTCGCGTTGCGTCATCTGCGACGTTATGTGCAGTAGGCACCCATCTCCACTGTGACGCCGTCGTGGTTTCAGTTATTTCGGTTACACGATGAGCCACATACGGTGTAAAACGCGCTGTATCATTGTTTATCCACTGCAGGACGGTTTTTGAATCGGTCCAATACACGACGCGCTCTGCATGCCATCTTTGTTCTCTCGCTACGGTATTCGCCAACCGCGTAGCGATTAACGCTGCCTGCAATTCCATTCTAGGAATACTTTGTCTTTTTATCGGTGCCACTCTGGCCTTTGCGGCGGCCAGCGTCACTTGCACCGCCCCGTCATTCTCGATTCTCCAATAGACTGCGACGCTATAAGCGACCTCGCTCGCGTCACAAAACACATGTAGCTGCTTTCCCGTCACTCCCCCCGTATAGAGACGCCGGGGTAGACGCAGCCTACTAATGGTACTCATTCCATTAAGCCATTCGTGAAATTCGCCGGCTTCCTCATCAGGTAAGGCCTCGTCCCAGTCTATTTTCAATCGCCATATGTTTTGTAATATAATCTTCGCCCGTATCGTGTAATAACTTAATAATCCGAGCGGATCAAATATAGACATTACTGCGCTTAATGCCTCCCTTTTTGTAGGGGCTCGTTTCATTTCTTTTATGTCCGTATTCACGCGCACCATATCCGTGTTAAATGCCAGTTCGTCCGTAGACGCATCCCACAGCAATCCTAGTGTCCTACCCCATCGGTCCTCGCTTATGGCGAGTTGCGTAGGCGATGTGGCACGGCTCTCTACTGGCAGCTCTCGCAACACTTCCGGTCCGTTTGAGTTATAACCGGTTAGCGTGAATCCCGCCTGCGCGTGCACAGTGGCTACTTCCTTTAGCGCATCCATCGCCTCTTGTTCTGTGTCGTAGCAGTCGACATAGTCATCCATGTAGTGACTCTTAGTGATTGCTTCATATGCGCGTGGATACTCTGTAGCATGCGCGTAGGCATTCGCGTTCCGTACACTGTGAGCCAGGAAAGGAGAACTCTTAGCTCCGAATATCATAGACGTCATCTTGTATCTTTTCGGCGGCGTGGTTCGCTCGTCGCCTCTCCACAGGAACAACTGCGCCGGCTGATCCTCCTTGTGAATCTTTATCTGAAGAAACATCTCCTTGATATCGGCCGTGACGGCGAACGCTCGTTCTCTAAACCGTAAAAGGAGGCCCGCTAGATCTATAAGCAAGTCGGGACCCTCCAATAGTTCGTCATTGAGACATACTCCATTCGTTACGGCAGCCGCATCAAACACTACTCGTAACTTTCCTGGCTTATTCGGGTTCGACACCGCGAAGTGGGGCAGATACCATAATCGTTGGCTCTGTAGTTCCTCCCCATTGCATTCCTCCGCGTACTTTTTATCAATCAGATTCTTTATCTGCGCTTTATATGTGTCTCTGAAAGAGCTTGACTTATCCATCTTCTTTTCAATGGTTTTCAATCTCTTCACGGCGGACTCGTAACTCGGTGGCATCTTCACATCATTGCGTTTCCACGGCAGTCGCACCTCATATCGTCCGTTAATTTGTTTTGTCGTTGTATTAAACAATTCCATTGCGCGAGCGTCGTTCGGACTGACTCGCTCCTTTCTATTTATTCCTATGGAATCGATTTCGAAGTGCTCCTTTACTTTTTCGTGAAGCGCATCATCCCGGTCGAGAGGGCGCGAGACCGTCGCGCATCGCGGTGTGTCTACGTATAACACCGAGTCGCTCTCTTTCAGCATCCCCGATCGCGGCGCTGACCCATGGATGACCCATCCAAGCATCGTGAGGGAAGCGATCGGTTCGTCACGCTTACCCTCGAGCAGTCTTCGAGTTACTATAAGATGCCAGTTGTCCGCTCCGATCAGTATGCGCGGTTCGGCATACCCATAACATAGATCTTTGCTACGTAAGTGGCGCATATGCTTATAGTTTAACGTTTCTTTATTTATCTTTTGTCGGTTCAACGTAAGATTTTTCATAGTTTTAGCTTTAATATTGAATCGCTTCTTATTCCCCGCGATCAATTGAAGATTTACTTGTTTCGTTTCGTATACATTCTGCGTGTTAATGCTTCGTATGCTTAAGTTATTTGTCGGCCCGTCGGCACCCACGTAATTGGCGAGATCTTCATCTATCACTGTTATAGTTGACCCTTCGTCGAGTAAGGCGTAAGTGTTGACCGAGCCTTTCGGTCCTTTTATGGTGACGGGACACACTTTCAACAATACTTTGGATCTTTCTGTTGAGTGAGTAGCTGATGCAACCATCTCGGCTTCCTTTGTGGGTCTCGCTTCGCTCGTTTGGGCACGGTTCTCGTGTAACATCGCATGATGTGGGTGGCGGCAGCCATCTACACCACATAACGGGCTGTCACAGTGTATCCGACGATGTTTTCT